TACAGTATAAAAAACAAAATCGCTTCCCGCCGTCTGTACGCTTAGATCTTTTAAACTACGCAACGGATTGTGAATTCAGTTTTCATCAATAAATAGTGATTCAAGATGAAAATTTGTATGCATAATTTAATATTATTTTGTATTAATTTGTTGAAATATGACACCAATTATTCAAGATGTCGGAAGAAATCAAGTGAGATCGACTGAGAGTTTTCATCAAAAACGCCTAATTCGTTTGTGATATAACTAAACAATGTATGGTAAGATTGGTTTTCTTTTATTGCTTTATAAAAAAGTATGCGATGGCATATGTCTACCTTTTAAGGACAGCTTACTATATCCATTTAATTCATATTCGACTTAACAAGCGGATGCAAGAAATTTAAACTTTGCTATGAATATGAATAAATATTCTCTACTATCCGTGCGAAGCCGGGGCGAAATTCTAGTATATAGAGTCCATATATAGTATAGTATATTATATAGAGGAAAATTTTTATTTTTTGTTCACAATAAATAAATTAATTTGCAAAAGATGCTTAATTAATTATACAGCACTATCATACCTACTTGTACAAGAATTAGTCCATTACCTTAAAGTTGTCTTGAAAAGATTGCTCTCAGCAATAAGGCCGCCTTACTGTACTTATACAATTGTATCGTTGAGTTTGTAAATTGCCTTGCTTATTTCCTGTATTGTATAATGTAAATAAAGTATACTCATTCATTCATAAATTAATTTTTATCAAACATTCATGGGTTGGCTAGACGAAATCCCTTTTATGGGATAAATCCGCCATTGTACTATTTTTTTTAAGAATTATATATCCTATAATTTAAGACTTTACTGTACAATAAAGTGTACAATAAACAAACAAATATTTAATCGATTTAAACAAATCTTCAGTTTTAGAATGTTACATATTATCAGCGAGTAACATGGCCTGTATTTTATTATACACAAAATTTACATTGTTATAATTTATATAAAACAAAGATATACAACCGGCGAACTTAACTCTGTTAGAGTTCTCTTCCAGCAAACTCTTAGTGGAAAGGAGCATTAATTACCAGCGAGCAGTGTGCGTACAATAAGAAGTGAAAACAATTAACAAATACTTACAAAACCAAACACAAAACCAATACTTACTATTAGGGGGGAAGGGATTGTTAGTATCGTGGAGATTAGTCCCCGTTGCTATCAATGTACTCTCTCAGGTCGACCTCGACGCGGTTGCTTCTGGAAACTATCGTGACTAATTTATCGTTGAATTCGTCATGATAGACTAACTGACCTGCCTTTTCATCCTAAGTTATCACCTCTCGTTGGTATCCCGCCAGTGTATACCGACAGCGCAGGCAGGGTTACCATGCCAAAAAAAATACCTACTATTATATATTTATTATTTTATTTTCATAGATTCCCCACTAATCAAAACACGACGGTGTCATATCTACTGTGCGCCGTCGTCGTGTCTATCGGTCTGTCATGCGCTATCAGGTGAAGTCAGCTTTTTACTTTTTGTTCATTTCCAATCGCTACCGAACAAATTTTTAACCAAAGCTTCCCTGAAGCTGACATTTTTTTCATGAAAATATTATTTATCTTCCGTTATATTTTTTACCCAACTCCTGAAGAACGGAGGCTGACGTTTTTCGAACTTTATGTGATTACCAGCTTTAACCGTCAATTTTATTCCCCTGACCGAAATATGTTGATTGATCTTGATAAAAAATATCCTTTTTCATTCAAATTATTCAAATACTATGTGAATGCCAAATATCATGATGCTTTAATAAACCGTTAAGGTACTAAGAGGTAACAAACACTTTCACATTAATATTGTAATGTTAGCAAGAATTAGTAAGGAGAGAAAGACTAAAGTAAGACTACATGACATATCTACACGAGTACAAAACGAAATAAATATTGGCGAAATAAATAGTCCAATACTTGCGATATTTAATAGACCTTTAAAAAATTACCCCTTTACATCATCATCATCTTTTAAGCCATCATCCGTCCACTGCTAGACGAATAATAACCACTCCTTTACATAGTGAAGAGAAAATTAAAAAAAAAAAAACTAAAATATTAAAAATAATTTTCTAAAAACTAAACGCAGTCGATGCGGTTTTTTTTTATTCATCTTGAAAAAGCAAACAAACTAAGGGCGCACCTGATCGAAAACGGTAACAGTGGTCTTTAGACAAGTTGAAAACATAAGCAGAGAGGTAAAAACAAGTAAAATATCCGGACTTTTATTTATTTTCAGCTCGTTCACGTAAAAACTAGTTTCACTCGGACACAAAATGTCGTCGGAGAAGTTGTCCCGGGAAACACGTAGGTACGGTCAGCAACGAAGGTATATGAATTCATTAACATTTCCAAAATCTCTATACACTGTGATATAGTTATGTCATTGTATCATCATCATCATCATATCAGCCGTCAATTGTCTCACTGCTGAGCACAGGCCTTCCCCTATTGCGGGGTTTTGCTAGTAGTTGCCACGCTTGACAGGCGAGTTGGCACTCGCAGTTAGGCTTTGGTAATGATTAAGAAGGAATGCTGCTCCCAAAACCTTGATCATTAAGTTTCCTTATTTATTTGAAAGAAAAAGGTGGCCAGTCCTATGCTAGGACCACATGGCACAAAATCAATATCTTAGATTATATAGATTGCAAATTAGCTGACTCGTTTTTTATATCAGTATTCTAAATACTTACGCATAAAATGTATTTTGAGGTATTATTTAATAAGTACAATTAGTATTTACGCAATAAAAAGATGCAGAATTTATAAGACAAAATAAATATAGAAGTTATAAAGGAATCGCTCGTAACTATTTATCACGCAAAATTGTATGAAGTAGTTGACCCGTTTTTCTTGAAAGATTTCTATGGAGATACTCTATCTATATAATCTAAGATCAATATACATAATCAAATAATTATGATTTTAAATTATGCTCATCCAACTGTGGTGCTAATCTCGACTAATCTGATCTTACTTATGTACGCAACGAAGTTTACTAATTTACGAAATATGATATTTATCTACTTTCGATACTGACTGTACCTAATCATGAAGACAAAAACGTTACATCTACTTCAATGAAGTGAATAAAAATAGATTTTTATAAAGCTCTTTAATGTTCCTTTAATGTAACGGATACACCACAGATAATATAATACTATACGATACCTTTCTATGATATAATTTTCCATGCGAAATAACAATTATTATGTATTTAGATAATTTTTACTTTTACTAGTTGTATTCTTATAATTTTACGTATAATTTAGCATATAAATATATTTTATAATTTACGATAATTATAGTGTTGCCTTTAAAAAAATAACTTACTCTATGGTTTGTATGAATGAATGAAAACTCTTTATTCTTCACTTTAAACAATGATACAGATTACAAAAATTTACAGTAAACAAAAAAAAAATTAATTAAAGATGATTTATGGTTTGTAATGTACTTTCATCATGTCAACTGTCGTTTCTGTAAAGTTCGCCGCACTTCAAATTACATTACACGTATTATTTCTTAGAATAACATGTGCTGACTAGCAATGTGAATAATTACAATCAAATATCCATATTATGGAAGTTTGTTTTATTTTTAAAACAAAACAATAAAACTAAGGTAACAAATTGTGCTACATGTATAAAGCCTTTATAGAACAATGGACTTTGCCTTATGTTTTTTCCATAGACAATAGAAGAACACGAGTTTGTGACAATAATAATGCGAATGTGTTTATGAACTGTGAACGGTAGAAATGATGATTAATGATGACATATTTTCGTATTCAAGTCAAAGTGGAATTAGATCAAGCGAATGAAAACCCTTAGTCTATTCAACAGCATTTTTTTTTTAATTTAAATATGCTAAGAACATTCGTTCATTGCTCAAATGCATTCGTGAATATTTTGTACTTGTTCACGCGTTGTTTTTTTTTTAATATAACCTGAGAATCCCATTGCTACAAATATATCGGTTGCCAACCATGTCCCATTCGTGTTTCAACCGTGAAACTGTTGGTTAATTCCTGATGAATTTATCATGATGGGCTAACTGGCCTGTTTTCATTCTCATCTATCACCCTTCACTGGTGCTCCGCCAGCGTATCCCATTAGCGCAGCCGGGGTTACCATACCATTTTCACCCATTAAAAAAAATACATTCGTGAATATTTTGTACCTTTTTCACGCGTTGTTTTTTTTTTTTCTAATATAAATTAACCTACTCTATTCTTTAACTATTGTTCTTATTCGTTCTGCTTTTATTATTTGTCGTTGGTCTATATTCGTGAATGATTTCTACTAAACTGGCGTTATTCTTTTATTCTATGTAGTATCTCTTATGGTTATTTATTCTTCTCTTTACTGATTTTATTTATCACTACCATGTATTATGTATGTATTAGATTGTTCTACTTTCTTAGATTGTTCTATTTCTACTTTATTCTATTTCTCTCTCCACTTTTGTACATTCTAAGAAGATTCTTTCGTCGCTCGACTAAATTCGTGAACAATTTTCACATTATTCTTTTAGTTTAAATTGTTTGTTTTGTTTTTTTTTTATATCTTATTCTTGTTTGTTTTGCTGTGCATTCTTTTTCTCTATCTCTACCCTCGCACATTCTAAGAATATTCTTTCATTGCTCGACACCAATCGCGAACAATTTGTACTGTTCTTGCGTTGTTCATTTAGTATAAATAAATCTTGTTCTATGTTTTATCTCTTGTGCTTATTTATTTTGCTTTTTACTGTTTTTGTCCCTTATTGTCATCTTCACCTTCTTCTCACTCATATTCTAAGTGTCTTATACTATCAAGCATTATGTGACGTGATTGTTAATTTAAATATGAATTTGATTAGAATGAGCTCAGGTATCATGATTAATTGGAATCAATAGAAGAGGAAAATAATAGAATAAGTAATGATGATGATGGATGAAATTAAATCAAACAAATATAACTAAAGTTTAACTATTAAGAAGTTAAAAGAGTTATTTTCATTTAAACATAAACATAGATATCATAATATAATTTTTTCCCGCGTTCGCTCTTCATACGTAAGTTGAAATAGTTGTAACCGATTCCACCTTGCGTTATATTTGCTGAAGCGCTACTATCAGTCAAGTCATATGCCAGGATGCCCTAGAAGAAAGAGATAGGGAAATAAGCAACATTACAGAAAAAAGTAATATATCTAAAAGAGGAGTCAAGAGTCTTCGAAACAGTCGCGCGTGGGAGACGAGTTATGAAAGTGCGTGAAGCAAGAAAAGTATGTAAGTATATAAGGTAAGATAAGGTCTTCGGTACTTGGTTCTCTCTGTCTCTCTCCCAAAGAGACTTGGCGTCAAGATAGATATGTACATAATATATCTAAACTAATATTACAAACAAAAAATCGAATCTTCTCTGATTTGATTTCTTTTTTGTAATGGATAAACTCAAAAATAAATTATTTCAGGTATAAAAACACTACATTATCAATAAGTTATTATTTAATATATAATATTTTATTTTAAAACAAATCGTGCAAATACAAGGCAGGTCGCTAGTTTAAATTTAAAATAAAAAGTTATATATATATATATATATATATATATATATATATATATATATATATATATATATATATATATATATAAATTATTTTAATTAATTAAATAAATAAAAATTTAATTTAACCGAATTCTGTGGTTATACTGGCATGTATTTGTATAAAAAGATTTTTTTATGCAAGTTAGAATGGCAAACTGATGGCCCACCTGATGGAAAGTAGTAACCATAACCTATAGACATGAGCAGTACCGTGGGCATAACAGAATATACTGTTTCGCCCAATATACCCCCATGCGTTGCCATTCCTAAGGACTCAGGTGTTATTCCTCTGTACCATGTAAATTCAGTACCATATCCCACCCTTTAAACCGAAACAGCCATGCAAACATAACTGTTTTACAGTAGAAACACGAATGTGACAGAGGTGCCCAAACAAACGAATTCTGTACAAAGTCTGGTAAAAAAGTATCGAAGTAATTATAATGTATAATAATAAACTGCCTTGCCTGGAATAAGACCTCTGTATATTTTTTTTAAATCCATTGATTCGTTAAAAAAGCATCGAAACTATCACATTTATTACAATAGTAATTTAGTAGTAAGTTTACCTTAATCGATTCTCCATTAACAATATAGATTCTTGGCAGCGTGTAATTATAATATTCAACTCTCTTCCTGAAGATATAAGAACTAAATTTAGCTTTATGATGCTGAACTAGGGGCCTCAGAACATTGGTGCCCATAAATGTATGTCCACACTCCACGAATACGACAGCTGATAAAATCAAAATAATAATTTTCATTTTTATCAAAAAAAAAACTTTACGAAATATTAAATCTTTTAACAGATTCCCGTTACACCGTATTTACTGCGGAATGGTTTTGGAAGCACTATGCACCACTTTTTAAATGCATGTAGATTGATAATTTCAAATCGTAATGATCATTTAAATATGTTGTTAGTTAAAACATAACTGTCAGTTAATTTTTAACCGTCATTAGCGTTTTCAAATTAATTTAATACTGATATTGGTACTGGCCATTGTGTTGTTTATTGGCACTTATGTATAATTGCATTAGAGATAAGAACTTATTAAAAATGGTAAAACAATATTAATATAATCCTTACTAATATTATATATGTTAAAGTGAGTTTGTTTGTTACCTTATAGCGACTTAATGGCTTAACCAGTCACTGTATAGTGAAATTTCATCTACATGTATTATATCGGATGGGAAGGGTTATAGGATACTGTTTATACCGGTCAAGGAACAAATTTCGGTCATGCGAACGAAGTCACGAGTCTACATAATTATATGGTATATATTCTTCAAGTTAATAGAATTCGGTTTAAGACTCAGTTATAAGGTAACAAATGTAAAAAAAAATACATCCGAATTAAGAACCTCTTTCTTTCGGAAGTCGGTTGAAAATGATTTCAATCAAGCTAACCAGTGACATGGACAGCAAAATGATACCTAGTTCAATAAAATATTCGTATAATTTTCTTTTAAAACGTCACCGATGAAAATATGATAAGGTTTCTGCTGGCAAATTCCGTAACGCAAAAAAATTTCATACTGAATTTCAGTGGCATGTCCCACATATTTTCTAGCCATAAAATATTTGTGCCTCTGTGGAAATCCTAAAAGAATTCTATATAAGAAGATATCATTTGACATTTTAAAATATTCGTAAAACTCGAGTATTGTGTATTTAAAATATAGCTAATACATACAGATATGCCCAATTTTATCTGTATCCACTTATTTTTTAATCAACTTTAAAAAGAAGGAGGTTCTTAATTCATTTGTACTTTTTTGTCTGTTATTTCATAATTCCATCAGTTATAAACGAGTTTGGAATAAATTTTTTTTTTTTTACCTAAAAAGTTATAGATTGATCTTATAAAAATTTCATCAAAATCGGTCCAGTAATTTAGTTGTCTAACCAAAGTAACTGGTTTTTTGTGGAACACTATCTTAAATTATCATTAGAGCTATATGTTGGTAGGTTTATTTTACCTTTATTCTCGTATATTTAATACTCCTTATACAAAGTTTATCAAACATTTAATGTGATCTCTATAGAAGAGCCACCAATATAACGCACCGATATAATAATTGGTGGCAGAATAACTACTCTAATTAGCAATTACACCCTATTAGGTAGACCTCCACGCGGTTCCCCCTGGAAACAATCGTGGTCAATAATTGTTGAATTCGGCACAATGAACCAACTGACCTGCTCCATCCTCACCTATCATCTCGCCACTTTATAACGATAGTGCAGGCAAGGTTACAGTTTTATTTTTATCCATTAAAATAAATACACCAATAAGTAAGACTTGTTCAACAGTAATTTAAGAATAGTGTACCGTTGTAGCAAAACCAGTTATTTTGATTATAAAAACTACGCTATTAAACCGATTTTGATAAAATTTTCATGGATCCAACCTATGAGTAAGTTTTCAGGCAAAAAAGAATTTTTCCAATCGGTGTAGAAACTACGGAATAATGAGACAATAAACAAAAAAGTACAACTCCTACTTACAACTGTATTGAGAGTCTCCTATTTTAAAGCTGGTTGAAAAAACACCGACTTTAACTACAAAGGTATTCAGAGGAGGTAGACCTAATAATTGGCATTGAGGGCGATATTTCTCGTTACGAACAATTCTGTTTATAAATATGCTGATTCCTTTCTGTATGTTATTATTTCATTATTGTATTTAAAAAAAAAATATTATATTATAAACAGTATTATAACAATTTGCACAATCAATAATTTATATAAGCAGTACATAGCAATTATTACACGAAATTAATTTAAATTAATACTCGTATTTTCATTCAAATAATTATTTAGAATTTAAACTTAAGATAAAAAATAACTAATTTAATTTACATTATATAAATATCATAAAAAACAAAATTTAAAAAAATTATTATATAATATATATATATATATATATATATATATATATATATATATATATATATATATTATTATTAGTAGTTTTAATTTTAAATGGTAACAAAAATATAATATCACGTGTTTCCATTTAAAATTAATACTATAATATATATATATATATATATATATATATATATATATATATATATATATATATATATTTTTATATATATATATATATATATATATATATATATATATATATATATATAATAAAATATATATAATATATATATTTTGAACATATTCCATCTAGGAAAAAGATGTGAGAGAATTAAAACAAAAAAAAAACTCAAAATAAATTATTAGACTTCCGCAAGAAATGAGAGTATATAGTTACCATCTTCAAAAAATTAATCAACATACGATGTCAATAAAATAAGCTTACTGATAGGTCTTAAGAAGGTACCTCTTATGGTTTTTATTGAAGCTGACCTTACGAGATCCTTATCACGATTAGGATGTATCACAATTACTTTACCCAACGACTTATATGTTGATAAATGCGCTGGTTCATTTTTGTATGTTATTATTTATTAATTGTATTTTATTTTTAAATTTCTTTTCATAAAAAACTATAATTATCAAAGTATATAAAAAGATATTTTGAATACATCCCCTCCACCTTACATTGTGGTATATAGTTTAAGAAAATATTATAAAAAGGGATTGTCAATAATAAGATATAACAGGCTTATTACTAGCAATATATCGACTTAACAGGTCGACCTCCACAGGGTCTCCCTTGGAAACCATCGTGGTTATATTTTGAGGAATTCCTCACGATTAGTCAACTTATCTGCTTCATCCCCATCTGTCATCCGTCAATAGTGTTCCGGTAGCGTAAACCGACAGCGCAGCCGGGGTCACTATTCCATTTTCATCTATTAAAAAAACTAAGAAAGCTATAATCTAAATAAACTACAATATAATGAAGCCTGTTAGATTGACATCCACGCAGTCCATTTTGGACACCATAACAATTGGTTCCCAAGGTTATCAACATGGAAACCTGGTGAATTTATCACCATGGGCTAACCGAAAATCAAATTTGGGAACAGGTATATAATTTTTTTCTTAGTGCGAGCCAAGACGATGTGACGCAAAGCATCGTACGCACGCACGCACGCACGCACGCACGTTATATATATAGATACTAACTTTAACTCGTGACTTCGTTCGCATGACTGGAATTTGTTCCCTGACCGGTATAAACAGTATCCTATAACGCTTCCCATCCGATATAATACATGTAGATGAAATTTCACTATACAGTGACTGGTTAAGCCATTAAGTCGCTATAAGGTAACAAACAAACTCACTTTAACATATATAATATTAGTAAGGATTATATTAATATTGTTTTACCATTTTTAATAAGTTCTTATCTCTAATGTAATTATACATAAGTGCCAACAAACACTACAATCGTTACATTAATGGCCAGTACCAATATCAGTACTAAATTAATTTGAACATGCTAATGACGGTTAAAAATTAATTGACAGTTATGTTTTAACTAACATATTTAAATGATTAAAAAAACATTAAATGATCATTACTTTTTTAAATTATCTATCTAAATGTATATAAAAAGTGATGCATAGCGTTTTAAAACCATTCCACGGTAGAACATTGGTGTAACGGGAATCTGTTAAAAGATTTAATATTTCGTAAAGAATTTTTTTTTTTATGAAAATGAAAATTATTATTTTGATTTTATCAGCTGTCGTATTCGTGGAGTGTGGACATACATTTATGGGCACCAATGTTCTGAGGCCCTTAGTTCAGCATCATAAAGCTAAATTTAGTTCTTATATCTTCAGTAAGAGAGTTGAATATTATAATTACACGCTGCCAAGAATCTATATTAATAATGGAGGATCCATTAAGGTAAACTTTCTACTAAATTACTAATTGTAATAAATGTGATAATTTCGATTTTTTTTAACGAATAAACGAATTTGAATAAAATAATCAGAGGCCTTATACTTTGATACTTTTTTTACCAGAGGGAGACTTTTTACAAAAGTCGTTTGCTTGGGCACCTCTGTTCCATTCGTGTTTCTACGGTGAAACAGTTGTGTTTGCATGGCTGTGTTTCGGTTCAAAGGGTGGGATATGGCAGTGAATTTACAGGGTACAGAGGAATAACACCTGAGTCTTCAGGAGTGGTAACGCATGGACGAAATAGTATACTCTGTTATGTCCATGATACTGCTCATGTCTATAAGCGACGGTTACCACTTTCATAACTCGTCTTCCGCGCGCGACGCTTTCGTAGACTTTTGATTCTTCCTTTAGATATATTACGTTTTTCTATAATGTTACTTATTTCTCTATCTCTTTCTTCTAGGGCATCCTGGCATATGACTTGACTGATAGTAGCGCTTCAGCAAACATAACGCAGGGTGGAATCGGTTACAACTATTTCAACTTACGTATGAAGAGCGAACGCGGGGAAAAGTTATACTATGACATCTATGTTTATGTTTAAATGAAAATAACTCTTTTAACTTCTTAATAGTTAAACTTTAGTTATACTTGTTTGATTTAATTTCATCCATCATCATCATTACTTATTCTATTATTTTCCTCTTCTATTGATTTCAATTAATCATGATACCTGAACCTATTTTAATTCATGTTTAGATTAACAATCTCGTCACATAATGCTCGATAGTATAAAACACTTTAAATATGAATGAGTAAAAAGTTAAGATGACAATAAGCGACAAAAACAGTAAAGAGCAAAATAAATAAGCACAAGAAATAAAACATAGAACAAGATTGATTTATACTAAATGAACAACGCAAGAACAGTACAAATTGTTCGTGAATGGTGTCGAGCGATCAAAGAATATTCTTAGAATGACGAATTAAGAACAACTTATAAAAAAAAAAAACAGATCAACAATTTACACTAAAAGAACAACGTAAGAACAATGTGAAAATTATTCACGAATTTAGTCGAGCGACGAAAGAATCTTCTTAGAATGTACAAAAGTGGAGAGAGAAATAGAATAAGAAGTAGAACAATCTAATACATACATAGTATATGGTAGAGAGAAATAAAATCGGTAAATAGAAGAATAAATAAACATAAGAGAGACATGGTAAAGGAAAATAGACAATGTCTATAGGAAATTAAACACATAATTTCATTTTAAATATTTTAATATATTGTGATTATGGCATCGTTTTGAATTCATTAAACTTAAATGTATGTATATGTGATAATGCAATTTTTATCCACCACCACTCTTCAAAGGAATGTTGATGAACTTAAATGCAATATCCTTCTGCACCACGTTCACTGTAGTGGTACGTCATATCGTACGCCAAGATGCCCTGGAAAAATATATTTTAAAAGGTCATAATTGCAAAACAGTATGCGTATTAAATTTCCCTTAATGTTTGCCTCATCTTCTAGAGACTTTCGACGAAATAATAACGAATCATTTACCTTTTACAAAATATTAAACTTAAAATTAAATTAATAAATATAAATATTTAGAAACATACCATACATTGTGTAATATAGATAAATAATGTATTTGTACTACTTCTCATCAACCATTAACTGTCCACTGCTGGACATAGGCCTCTTCCTTGAGAGGTTTTGCCAGTAGTTGCCTCGCTTGGTACGCGAGTTGATAATCGCAATTAGGCTTTGGTGATGTTTTAGAAGAGACTGCTGATGTTCCAACCCTCGCCCTCCTTTACTCACCTCTTACGATACCCACGAGAAAGAAAGGGATGGCCTATTCTATGTTGGTACAACATGGCGAAAAGGAGGAGGTTCTCATTTCGATTGAATTTTTTTTCAACTTAGAATGGCAAACAAACTGACAGCCCACCTGATGGAAAATGGTAACAGTCGCCTATAGACATGAGCAATACCATGGACATAACAGAGTATACTGTTTCGCCCATGATACCCCCCCATGCGTTGCCATTCCTGAGGACTCAGGTGTTATACCTCCGTACCCAGTCAATTCACGCCATATCCCACCCTCCAAACCGAAACACAGCCATGCAAACACAACTGCTTTATGTTTGTTACCTCAAATCTCCGTCAGTTGTAGACCGATTTGTTAAGTGTAAGTACACATATAGTAGACTTAACAACGTTCTCGACTAGTCAACCATGAAAGTTGCATGTTTAAAGTATCGGATATTCACTAATGTTAGTTAGTTAGAATGTCTCTTCAGTATGTTAGTGAATTAAACTCAACAAACCGAGGAATAAAATATTTCTCGGTTTGTACTACTTACAGCATACAAATAATAACAAATACACGTAAAACAAAGAAGAAAAATATAAAAGAAAATACAATAAGTAATAAAAAAAAGTAACAGAATTTTTCGTGTGTGTGTATGTGTGTGTGAGAGACTGGTGTCAGTTTTTTTTTTTGTTGGATGAAAATGGATTGGTAACTCCGCCTGGGCTAACGGAATACGCTGGCGGAGCACCAGTGAAGGGTGATCGATGAGAATGAAAACAGGCCAGTTAGCCTATCGTGATGAATTCATCAGGAATTAATCATGATAGTTTCCAGGAGGAACCGCGTGGAGGTCGACCTGGTTAGGTATATTGCTAGCAATGGGATTTTTAGTCTCCATTACTAACAATTCCTTTCCCCCCTGGTGTCAGTATTAGTATACCTTATATTACAAATCACACAGACAATCCTCTGCTTACATTTTAGACCAATCACAATAATAAACATAAATAAATAAAATCTTATTGTATTATTATTACACGATTTATTTTCAACTACGGCATAAAGTAAACAAATAAAACCAATATTAAAAAATTCATCTTCGAAAACATTAAAACTCTTGATTCAAAAAGCATTATTTCGTAGCATTCAATTTAATATATTATTTACATAGTCTATTTTAACAGGTTCTTTAGTAAGTCCATTAAAATATCGTGTTACGTGTACTTTCCATCCATTACCTACGTACAATTTTCACACGCTACCTCGCCGGCGACGGATGTACAAAAGACACGTATAAATCAGGAAGCGGCGGCGACGCCATATTTGTCCTTTTCACCGCCATTTTGTACTATTCGATGCACGAAGATAAAAACTTATTTACGTTTATTTATTTATTTTAATATTTTATTGCATTCATGTACATAATACAGAGTTGTTACAATGTTCTTATGAAGAGTAAATACATAAACCCTATTTGGATATAGCAAAATTTAATCAATAGGTAGCTAATATAAATACATTAATGTCAATTTAGATGATATTTCATTACTTTTACAAATAATTACTCGTTTTTGTATAGATTTGTCATACAATAATTTCAATTTACATTGAATCAATTAAATTTAAATATCACAATGATGCTTTTAAAGTAAAGGATTATTAATAATGAAGTCCAGCTGTCCCATTCCTAGCAATATCAAGTCCATCCATACGCTATGGATTAATTGACCCAACCTCGTCTATCATACTTAACTGGTGCCCCTTCACCGAACACTATATACGTACGTACAATCTATGTAATGAAAAAATATAATATTTTAGCTTTTGCCCGTGACTTCGTCTGCGTGACTGCGTATTTACAGACCTAGCCTTTGACCTTCTCAATTCTATATAGCATCCTATATATCATAATATTTGGTTAAGTTGAAATGAAATTATATTCATTTGCTGTAAATGTAGAACATAATGGGATGGAATTAATGATAATAAATTGCACATTGCTTGCACATTCAGCCAATTTGGCATACAACATTTTTATACATAATTCATAATATTCTATCATTATTAATATTCAAATAATATTTAATATTTATTTATCAATCATAGTTGTTAATCTATTAGGTAATAAACAAACAAACTCACTTTCACATTTGTAAAATTCATATTTTGGGGAGAAAAGGATTGTAAGTAATAGGACTAGAGGTCTCATTGCCAACAATGTACTTTATCAGATCGACCTTCACGCGGTTCCCCCTGGAAACCATATTGATTGTTTTTTTTATGACTTTATCGCTATAGACCAACTGATCTGCTTTCATCCTCACCTATCATCCCTGACTGGTGACCCGCCAGTGTACACCGTTAGCACAGGCAGGATTACTATTCCATTACCATCCATTAAAAAAAATCGTATATTTATTATAATATAAAAACTATAGCCCTGTTTATATAGCACTTGCAGTTATCATCACATTTACATTAAAAAAAAAGCAATTTTATTCCACAATTTGCAATCCGAGTAGCACTTATTCATTACTTAACAAGCAATGAGTTATATTTCCTCGGGTGCTTGCTAAAATTACCATAACAAAAAACGTCGGAGCAAATCTCACATATCACGTTCACAAATCCTCAAGATATTGCTCTGCAGTGGAGCGTACACATATGCCATAAATTTTACCATCATCATCAGCATTATCATATTTCCCCTCATTAATTCACTGATAAAAAAATAATTCTTATTTCGTATTCATTTAATTCCAAACAAGTCCACTGAAAGAAATTGGTAACGTAATGCACATAGATTTTTATAAAAATTTTAAAAGGTGTTTTGATTTTTTTAAAGGTGTTTACGGAATAGTAACCCCGCCTGTGCTATCAAGTATATGCTGGCAAGAAACCAGTGACAGATCATCTCTCAGTGGTTTCCTACCTGACTTTCTTACCAAACCTGACTAGAATTCATCGTCACATATCAATGAATGAATGTGATCATGAATTCAGGTCAGGTCTAGTAAATTTGTGACGTGATCAACTCATAAAGACACAAGACGGTTTCTAGGAAAGACCGCGTGGAGGTTGACCTGAAAATAATCACGTGTATTGCTGACAATGGAACTGTTAGTCACCATTGCTAGCAATCCCTTCCCCCCCTCCTTGGCAACTATAGATAAACATGATTAAAATTATTGACAACACAGAATTACTTTTTAATCCAAGATACATCTTGTGTATTGCTATTTATGTATTTCACTACAATAATCTCACCTTTCAAACCATGCATATAGTATAAACGTACTATACTTTACAATCTAAGCTTAAACCTTAGACACAGTAGCTTCAAAGTAAATTACAGTCATGCAAGCACATCTACTTGGCGGGAAAATTATACTAGGTGAGAGAAAGCCAAGGTAAATGCCAACAACTTCGTCGCTCTCTAATTTTAATTTAAAGTACATAAAATTACTTTTTAATACCTAACACTTACAAATAATTTATCATTGGACTTTGTTGACTTCTTTTCATTTAAATATAAACATTGAAAATTTAAATTTAAATTCGTAAAACCATAGAGCACTAATCACTGTTATTAAGAGTCGGCGCTACCCTTATATTAACTAAACTGGAAAATAAATCATGAAGTAGTATTACAAAAACAAAATAAAAAAAAAGAATATTTATTGTGTTACATAACTATTTAAAAAGTGTCTCTGGCCATTATATTACCAATCTTAGTTCTTATAAAAGATGTAAATATTTTATAGTATACAATTTTCAAATTCAATTAACTGGTTGAATAGGTTCATAAAAACATTTTTTTGTTCAAAGTGACGCAAACCTGAGTGAAACAAAAAAAAATAAACTAAGCTTCCTTTGTGTGCAAATAAACAAAGAGCAACTTTTTAATCCGGATAAAATAGGCAAAGGGAAAAAATGTACAGACAATAAGTACAAAGATGGGATGTCGTTGTCACAAGATACTTTTTCAGGAAGCGTGTTCTTACTCGAGTGGGTATCACAAGGCTGTAAGTGCACTTCCTGTAAGGGCCCGCGTCAAAGCAGCCGCCGGATGTGTCAATTTGAAGACATCATCTTGAAATATCTTCAAGATGTTGCCAGTGTGTGGATTCGGGGTGCCTTTTTTCGGGTGAAACTCAATCTTTACCGCTTACAACAAACAAAACTCAATGGACTACGTAAATTGTAAATTGTTCTACCATATTGATGAGTTTAGAATTCGATTATGTCCATATAATTTTATCACACTACAGACAATAGTACAAAACGGATTTTTTTGACCTTTTATTTCTACTATTTGCAGTATGATTTTAATAGAACTAAACAAACAAAAAGTTTATTTTTGTTCATTTCATTGTATTTTAGAAGTAAGAAAATAAATTTAGTCTTACGATTTTAATACAGTTACATATTATATATCATCAAAAATGTTAAGATCCAAAACAGACAATTAATTATTATTAATTCAGGTACACTATTTTTTCAGGTACACTATTTTTTTAGAATACAATTAAATACATTTTAGATATTAGCTACATTACATTTAATTTGTCCTTAATAATTTTATAATCGTGAAAAAATGTTTATTTAAAAGCTTAAACAAAAATTTGGTATGCACATACTAGAAAAAGGCTGGAGGATGGAGGCCTAGCCTCCATCCTCCTCCAAAAAGCAAAACAATATTCACTGGGTTATTTAAATAGTTATGAACAATATTATATAGGTAAGCAAAATAATGCTGTTTTTTTTTTTTAATAATGCCTAGTTCTGAAATAGAGAACATATAGATTTTGTTCCACAAAAAAACCAGACAAATGTGAGTTGAACTCACTCGCCGAGGTTGTACAGAACCAATAAAATGTGTCTATAAATGTTTTTGTTTTTTTTTAGCTAAAAATAATATTTGAATATGTTGTATACTCGAATACTCGCTGTTGCTTAAAAAATACACTGGAATAGTGTGTGGTTTTATTTCTCTTGGTGTTTCCGAAACACTAAAAGAAATAAAATCACTAAAAACGAACATGTTGCAATTACCATAACATCATCATCATCATTAGCCATTCTCCGTCCACTGTTGGACATAGGCCTCCCCCATAGACCGCCATAAGGAACGGTCCTGAGTTATCTGCATCCACTGACTCCCTGCAATATTATTAAGGTCAACTCCATCTAGTAGAGAGTCGTCCTACACTACGTTTGCCACTTAAGAACCTTACTTCCCTATCGGTTGTCGATTCTTCGAGCTATGTGATTATCCTTCGGGTTATATCGGTTACTTTGGTTCTTTTGTACCATAACATACACAACACAAATCAGTCGGTAGTTTGCATTAATAGCAATTCTTCCCCCCCCCCCCCCCCCCAAGTATTTTGAGGTCAAGACCAGCCAAAAGTCAAAGTTGTAACTGTTGCCATGAGCAGTAAGTACCATGAACATAACAGAGTATACTGTTTCGCCCATGATACCTCCCCATGCGTTACCATTCCTGAGGCCTATTTATATTTTATTTTGTGTCAATTATATTTTATTATCGTATACATGACTGGCGTGTATTTCTCTGTTTATATGTACTGCATTAGACCATTTGTCGTCCCGTAAATTAAGGTTAGTTACCGGGTTGACAAGGGTTCGACAGTTACCTTACTAATTATCTAAAGAGCATACCTCCCTCTTTCTAACATCTTGTTCGTTCTATATCAATTTGGATAATGTTCTAAATGCTCGGAGAATAATTAAAATCGGTACTCGGCATGAATAAATTTGTTTACTTGTTAAATGTAAAGGTAAATTAGTACATTAATAAAAAGGAAAGTTATCCTTTAAACACGGTAAAGAGAATTCTCCTAACAAACTATGCCCAGAGTTAACGCATTATCGCTATGTCATTTTCTACCGCCATTTTAATAATGTTGGATCCGCCTTAATCGTATAGATACATCTTAGATTATATAGATAAAGCATCGAATCTTAAGAACGGGTCAACTTTTTGTCAGTCATTCGTCTAATTAGCTGTGGAAGCCGTAAGAGGCGACTAAGAGAGGGCAAGGGATGGGCAGCAGCGTCCCTCTTAAAACATCTCCAAAGTCTAACTGCGGTTGCCAACCTGCCTATCAAGCGTGGCAACTACTAGCAAATCCCTCCAATGGGGAGGCTTATGTTCAGCAGTGGACAGTTAAAGGCTGATATGATGATGATGTGCACTTACTTATAAAATTGTGCATTTAAGTTTAAATAAATAAACATGTTGATAATAAATTTAAGACATTTTCGAAAAGAAACAAACTTCATTGTAGAAAAATATAGGTATGAGATTATCGTGGAAGAAAATAAAGATAAAATTAATTAAAAAGTATCCTTAAAATCGGTTCATAATTTGGCGAAAGGAAATTACGTAACACACGTAGTTCTAGACCGGTGTTTCCCAACATGGGGCCCAAGCCCCGCAGGGGGCAATTTTATAGTTATAGGGAGGGGGCAATTAAAAAATGGACTCGAAGCGATTTTAACCCTCTTGCTCCGAGCCATTTAAATGCAATGCTACGAGTAGATACTGGTTCTAAATTTAACAAAAAACATAAATAAAAAAAAATGCTGTAAATATTTATTAGGTATAATTTCGTTTGACATTACCAAAATATCAACTGGGCGATTAGATTAGAGTCATCAAGCAAACTTTGTCAGGAAAAATTATGTATGGGGGCATAAAAATTTTAGAAATGTTCAAGTGGGGCATGGCACAAAAAAGGTTAGGAAAACACTGTTCTAGACGATAATATAGGCACAACAAATTTTTAAAACCAATTTTGAATATTATTTATATATAATTCTTTTACCTATCTTTAATTTTTAATTAGATTAAATCTTCCCAGTTTGAATGATTTGATAACCTTCTGTGTATTACAATGTATTAGAATTAAGTAGTTTGCTTAGAGAAAGAAGGGATTATTAGTAATGGGGAATAACGGCCCCTTCGCTAGCAATATACCTTATCAGGTCGACCTCGACGCGGTTCCCCTGGAAACCATCGCCATTAATTCTTATATATTCGTCACGTGGGCTAACTGACCTACTTCATCTTCACTTATAATGCCTCACTGGTACTTTGCCAGTGTAGACCCTTAGCGCAGGCAAAGTCACCAAAACATAATCGTCTCATAAAAAAAATTGTTTGCTTAACAAAAACGTCAAGTGCTTAGAAAATTCAACTACTTTTTGAGTACTTAAGTGAATATTATGGTAAAAAGTATTCTATGTATTTTTTTTTTTGATAGGTGAGTATGGAATGGTAACCCGGCCTGCGCTAACGGGATACGCTGGCGGAGCACCAGTGAAGGGTGATAGATAAGAATAAAAGCAGACCAGTTAGCCCATCATGATGAATTCATCAGGAATTAACCATGATAGTTTCCAGGGCGAACCGCGAGGAGATCGACCTGGTCGGGTATATTGCTAGCAATGGGATTCTCAGTCTCCATTACTAACAATCCCTTTTCCCCCTATTCTGTGTATTATGATTTAAAAAAAATATACGTCTTTACACCCTTACTAATATTATAAATATGAAATTATATTTGTCTGCTAACTTTTGACGCTTTAACAGATCAAACAAATATTACGTGGTATACACTCATAGTATTTGGAAAAAAAAAAGGCATAGAATAGCTCTACGGCTTTTTATCCCGGTCAAAATCCTGATCAGGGGAAAAAGAATTGTTATCAGTGTGGACATCTCCATTGCTAGCAATATATTGCTGGTAGTCAGGTAGACCTCCACGACCCTGGAAACCATCGTGATTTATTGTCAAATACGTCACGATTGACCAACTGGCGTGACTTCATCCTCGCCTGTCATCTCTCACTGGTGCTCCGCCAGTGTATATTGATAGCGAGGGCAGGATTACAATTTTATTATCATGCATTAAAAAACTCCTGGTTATGCAGACGAAGTTGCAAGTAAAGATTAGTAAGTATATATGGAAGTATTATGTAGATATTTATCCATATTACATACCTATTTAATATCGAAAATCTTATTAAAACAATTTAAATCGCTTTGTATGTATCACCAAATCATCCCCACTCCTCTTTTTGAAGGTTGTTGACCTTATTACCCCAACTGAAATAAAAAATCTATTATACACACGTAGGTAAATATTATGAACACAGTACTTTACCATTGTACCTGTGATTAAAATGGTAACATACGTTATAATGTTACCATTCCATTATCATCGATAGAAAATAACCCAACGATAAATCCAGATAAGACGATGACGTCAGCATCCATATAGAGACGTCATTATTCAGTCATTTTACGATCTGAGACTAAAATTAATAATTCATATATAGAAACGACATTGTAACTTTCAAGAAAAGAGCATATTCCTTTTTAAAAGGCCGGCAGTACACCTACAATGCCTCTGGTATTGTGAGTGCTCATGGACGGCAGTAGTCACTTACCATCAGGTAAGCCTAATGCTCCTTTGCCCCTGTATTATAAAAAAAAGTCATTTCACAGTCTACTGCTCTAAAGAGGCTCACATAATTATATAGACAGACGTCATTATTTAGCCATTTTAAGATCTGCAATAATAATAAAACGACTTTATTAAATAATTTTGACGTCTACGGTCATAATAAGACGTCACTCTTTAGTCATTGTAAAGTCACAACTATAACAAAACGTCAAACTGAGTTGTGACCATTTTGTATCGTTATGACACACGCACAAAAGGAAAAATTGTACTTAGCTTTATGTATTTTTTTTAATCATTTCTCTTATCTAAGCTTTTATGTATATCTGTATCTGTTATAATTTGTGTGCTGTAAGTAATGCAAATAAATTATCTATCTATCTATCTATCATCATTTAGTTCTTGTAAAGTCGCGACTATAACAAAACGTCATTATTTAGTCACCTCAAGGACCGTAAAGTGATTAAATCATTATTTATGCATGTCTTTGTACGCATACGTAACCTGGGAAAAAAAGGAATTGTAGATACAAGTAGATAGATCGATACCTGTGCATTCACCGGTTGGTAAATAATTTCTTAATTTTTTCCTCTTCAGCATTCGTTTGTTTCTTTTGTAAAACTGTGCCATACTCTCAGATCCTACTTTAATTACCAACTCGAAGAAATTGAGCCGATTTCGTAACTTCTTATTTGAAGCAATTATTCTATGCCATTTCATGTACGCTTTGGTCGCATTGCGCAATGATGTGTTGTCTAAATATCTGGTAACAATTGTTAATAATATATTGTATTTAATAAATATCTTAATTAAGTAAATATATAAAGTGACTGGATGGGATAGAGGAAGCGCATTCTTAGTATATATCAGTAGACCTCCATGTGGTCCTCGTCAAAACCAAGTAAGTTATAATAAGTCTATGGAAACCATCATGATTAATTCCATGTTACATAAAAAAAAACTAAGACGTAAAAACCTTCCTTCAAATAAGTAAATTACATTAAAATCGGTCCATAGATTAGGAAACCACGATACATCAGTATGTAATATTATTAAAATTTTGTCCCACAAAAAACCACCTCAATTGTGACATAATCTGTTATTATAATTTAATTTATTTAATTTAAAATTAAAAACTAAACTACTGATTCGAATTTGTTAAAATTTCTATAAAACCAATCTGTAAGTATGTCCTTTCAGATTTTTCCAAATCGGTTTAGAACTAACAAAGTTATGTGGTAATAAACGTAAAAATAAAACCAATTTGTAAACCACCTTCTTTTTGATGCCGGTTTATTTTCTTTATACCTAAAAGTTATTCAACGATGAATCAAAAATTTTAATCATTACTATACTTATATAAATCGTAAATAAAAATATACATAAATAAAAATATATTCTTTACTTTTATTAAGTACCTACATAAGTAAGTATACCTGAACAAAACTCACGAAAATATTTTCCATAATAACTCCAGAGGCAACGATGAAAGTGTTTCTTGTGCTACATTTGTACACGTTTTCGAACCAAAAACAAAAATATTTCTGTCGTACATTGTATAATAACTGGAACTAAATTTATTAAATAAAAGAGGGTAATTACTAACTCATTTATGACAACACTGAGTTAATGTTTAAGAGTCAGTATACCTTTATATTAAATGAACTTAGAAAAAGAGTCTATGCAACCATAAATATTAACCATAAATGAAAACCATAAATAATAATAATTAAAGATTGTGTTACACAAATAAAACGACTTCAGTCGTGACAAAACCAATTATTTTGATATAAAAACTAAACTACTGAACTGATATACTAACTGGTATATCCTTTTAGATAAAAAAATAGCTTTTCAAATCTGTTTACAGTTTATACTGGTAGTTCGCATTACTCACAATGCCTCCAGCAAAGCTTCGATGATTTGCCAATGTTACATTGGCAATCGGTAGGAAGCAAAGATTGGAAGAGACACTGCAATTTTATCGGTGATGCGATAGCATTTCCTTGTCCGTGTTCGCTAAGTAAATTAAATTTATTATTCATAAGTCCGATTAAATAACTTAGTAACCTAATAATCTATGTCTTTGTCTTAAATTCAAACGGTCAGACAACAAACATTGTACTACCTACATGCAAATGAAAGCAAGCAAAGACACGTAGGTAAATATAATAAAATTCGTAAAATGTGAAATTTGTTAAAAATTGGCTTTTATTAGACCTATTTTTCTTTTTGCCACCTGCCTGTGATAAGTATACAATTAGTTTCCAATATCTACAATTTGCTCAATATTTGCAATTAATCTTCATTTAAAGAATATGTTAGTGGCCCTGTTTGTCACAGAGAAGAACAACTATCACATAGAGAATTTTTTTTATCGAATCCAATCTATAAATTTAAACTACCTCTACGAGTCCCTTTATAGGAGAGACCTATGTTCCGCTTGTCTATTGACAGTTAACGGCTGATATGATGATGATGATGATAATCTACTTGATTGTAAAATACATATTTGCTGCTAAAGAGATTAAATACCTATATGACAAGAGTTGAGACTTGCATTCAATAGACTTTCTATTTTTAAACTAAAATTGTTGAACTCATATGACTGACTTTTAGATTAAGTATCAAGTGTCAAAAACATGTCAACATTTCGTCAACTACATTAAAATTTAGGTGACTCATAGTGATATTTTTTTTTAAATAAAACAAAGAGCGCTCTTTCACTGTTGCAAGTAATTGGATTAATAATTTCCCAGATAATCGATTTTTATGTATGAAGTGGGAATCTTTTTTCTGATATAATATAAATATACATGTGTACGTAATGATTCCAAATTAATATACTCTTATAATATTGCATATAATTAACATTCTGGCCATTTTCGATAATTTTAAAGAGAAAAAAATTTTGCGTCCATAGTTGGACATAAAAAAAAGTTATCAGTAAAAATATGCATTATTACTATTCTTTAATCATTATTTATTTTGTTTTTGTTTATGCTCTTAATAATTTTATATTTTTTTTATTTTCCAATTCAACCTTATAATGTAATTTTTCCCATATGTTGAGTAATAAATAAACGTTATGATAACCCTATTTGCGTACACATAAATAAAAAATTTGATCCATTTTGGCGAAGCATATTTTGTATGATGGCACTCTATCTATACATATCGACGGTTGAAAGGCAAAATTGACTAAGCGACATAAATACCTAAACTGAGTTTTATATACCATTCGAATCGCCTGATTTTTCTGCGTCGATTGGTCTAGGTTTTAAAATTCTACGATAATTTTTTTGTCGGTTAAGTACTGCGTGATTTTAGCTAAATTTACAATTTTATGTTTACTTAGCAACAAAAAAAATGTCATTTAAAGAATATTTGCTACTTACGCCATTTTAAAAGTTAAAATATGGATTTATTAAATTTTTCATATCTTTGTTTTCACTTTTATTTGCAAGTAAGAATTTTTACTTGTTATGAAATTTCGTTTTTATCTGTTTTAGTATATTGTTCCTATTTAAAAAAAATGTAAATAATTTGGTTATGTAATTTTACCTGATGTAATATTTTGTTATATTGCAATTTATGTAATTTAACTAAAAATAAAATTAAAGTAAATTATACCTTAGATATTTTTACCTGTATAAAAATATGTTTGCTTTTAGCGGTATATATTTTTACTGCATATATTTGACTCGTTGAAATGAGTAAAAATGGCGCTTAGATAAATTTACCAGTACGCGAAATACAAATATTATATTTGGCAAATAGAAAATGTGTATGTGTTTATTACCATTGACATTGCAAGCACTATTATAGATAACACGGCATCAACTAAACAGGTGGCATTTCCTGGCACTACTATTGTATCGATTGATCATGATTATAATATCATAACGTTAAATAAATCTGATAACTCTGCATCAAATATATATAATTACGAAAATGAGAAAATCTCACGTTCTTTAACATCAGACCATGATGCACCATCTACATCGACCGGTTTGAGTAAAGAATCCAATGAATTAAATCCAATTAAATATAAAAGAATACCTAAGAAAGATGTTAGTTATATTGATTATATGTCAGATCAAGAAGACTTTTCCATATTTTATGGCATAAATTATTCAGATAATTATTCAGATAATTGGTCAGAAGGAGAAGAAGTAACCTCTGATGATGATAATAATATACAATGAAATAGAAGAAAAATAATAAGAAGTAAAACGTACTAAAAAAATAACACTAAAACTAACGATGGTAGTCCTGATAACCAAGAACTAGAAATTATCGGAGAATCTGCGTCCAAAGCTAAAAAATTAAACCTAAGAAAAGAACGAACTAAAAATATAAAATCTGGTAAAGAATATATTACAAAGACTGGTATAGTTAAAACAGCGCCTAATCCTTGCTCTGGCAAAAAATCTGGTAATAACTGTGGTTCTCTATCTGAAGTAAGAAGAGGAAATTTTCAATGATTTTTGGGATCTTGACCAAACACGTCACCGTGATTGGTTAGTATCTATATCAAAAAAGGATTCATCAAACGTAAATGTACAGACACTGATAAGCGCAACTACACTATTAAATATTTTATTAATAAAGGCGAAGGTAAAAAGTATGTTTGTCAACAATTTTTAGTAGCTACTCTGAACATTTCTGATAAAACAATTTACAATATTGTAAAAGATTCTACTTTTGGATGCACGAAAGAAAATATGAGAGGGATATCTGAACCCAGAAATATGTGAAACCCCTTTGGCCACAACAGAATATCAGTGTTTTGCTCTTTTGAGGGCAAAGCAATAAACTGAGTTGTGACCATTTTGTATTGTTACGGCACACGCACAAAAGGAAAAATTGTACTTGGCTTTATGTATTTTTTTAATAATTTCTCTTTTCTCGCTTTTTATAATTTATGTGCTTGTAAGTAACACAAATAAATTATATGTCTATCAAATAGAACTAAAAAAAAAAAAACTACTATAGATGCTGTTAAGAGATTTATCCAAAAATTACCAGCCTTTGTATTATAGTAGAAAACTGGCAGTATACAATATTTGCTTTTATGAAAATGGAACTCGTAATGTTTTCTGTTACTATTGGGATGAAACTAATGGCAAACGAGGATCAAATAAGATTGTATCAATACTGAACAAATATATTAAATCTGTAGATACTGTAGAGGAAATATCAAGCAATTACTTTTATATTGTGACTGTTGTCCCGGTCAAAATCGTAATCGTATTGTATTAGGAATGTTGCATTCAACACTACAGGAGTATGAAAATATTAATACTATTAAAATAAATTTTCTCTTGACTGGTCATACTTATATACCCGTAGATTAAAGACAGAATAGATTAAAGAATACAATTGTTTACGCACCATCTCAATGGTTTACAATTTTTGCATATTAATAATCTAACTGCAAAGATAAGTAAGATTTGTATTTTGACTTTCAAAGAAGGATAAGCAAAACGTTAAATATAAAATATTCGTGAACACTAACGCTTCTTTTGATACTGAAATTCAATTTAAAACCAAGATATCTCTTTTATCTTGTTATCGATCGCAGCTTCCAATATCAAAAGCCAAATATGATGATCTAGTCAAACTTTTCACAGACAATGTTATTCCTAATTAAGCTTTCCACGTGCAATAAATATCAAAGACACTCTAAACTAATCAGATATTAAAAATTGTGATTTTAATAATAATTAATTAAAATAGTTTATTAAATTAATTATAATAAAAAACCAGATAACCTATTATAACTCTAACAATCATTTATTCTTTTTAATAGACGAAAATTAAAGACAGGTTTTAGATAAATTATGTGAAAGCAAAATTAGTCTTCTTATATTATGAATATTTTTGTTAATTTTATAGTATTATTTATTATCATTATTACATTATAAATAATTAATAATAATTAGTTTAAAGTCAGTTTGGGATAATTTTAGGAAAATTTATTAACTAAAGGTACATATTCTGCTAACACAACAATCATACAAGAACTTACCTAGACAATTTTACTTGATTTTGTTCAATCTAATATACGTCTTTATATAATTGTACTTGTAAGGAGATTTAGATGAATCAGGATAACGATATTTTTACTCGTTTCTGTTAACTTTTTAGGTAAATTTATATAATTTTACCTGTAACCAATTCTAGGTATTTTTTATCTAACCGACATAAAATACTTCAAATTTTAGTCTGGGATAACTTTCTTTGATATCAAAAAATAACAAAAAATATATGCTTTCCGTAACTGTTAAAATTATTTCGATACGTCAATCAGGTAAATAGTTATGATTTTTTTTTCAAAAATTTCAACTTTAAACCGCTCTCCTGTAAAGTTTATTAAATGTCGCTTAGTTAAGGTTGCCTTTCAACCGTCGATATAATCTATGAAATTAACTTTTGTGCTATATTTACACTATCTTGCTTTTATTTATTGCAGACGACGTTCAAATTTTTTCATTGATTTGATAATGTTATTCAAAGATTTAAAGTCATTTATAAGTACTTATTGACTAAGCAAAAAATAATAATAATACTTTTTTTTATATTTTTTTCATATATGAAGAAGAGAAAGAAAAACAAAAATATTAATACTAATTTGAAATAATAAGAAATAATACGAAACGCGTTTAGTTATCACTCACGCAAGCAAGAGTTATATCGTAGGTACCTCTCGTCGTTAATATAACTTTTCTTACTAGCAACACTAGCGAAATCAACAAGCGGTCTTATACTCATGTTGGTCGGTTTCTTACTGCATTTATTGATATTAATATTTTGTCACTTACTTTTGGATAAAAAGTGTTTTAATTTGTTCCCGTAAAAGTTTAATTTCTATGTGTCTTCTTCGTAAAGCGAATTAATTCTCTAGAAATGTCTATTTCATTATCCAGCCTCGAGTGACAGATGTTGCATTAATAGATCGCGCCAGTTTTTAGTCGCCGAACTTGTGTTTATTGTGAGAAAAATGGAAGAATCCGATAAAAGTAATAATGAAAAAGTTTCTTCATCTCAAGAAATAGGTAAGGCAATCATATTTTTTCTTTTTTTATATGAAAATCCAAAATTTACATTGACGTACATTTACATTAACCGACCAAATTAAAAATGTCTATCTTATTTTTGTTTTAACCAAATTTATCGCAATTATATTATTTAGTTTTATATAAAAATACATATTTGATTTTTATATTTTCCAATCTATATGCTTAAAATGACCTAAATGTATTGGAAAACGATATTTCACAAAATGTTGCGGTTTGTTATTATATTCATGTCATCGGGAACATATTTTAGTAGTCGGTTTATAATTTATCAATATACATCAATATAAAATCGCTTCAATGTAAATTGGACCTGTCTAGATTCTATGCAATATTTAATGCATGTAAGAAACATTAATAGACGGTTTTGCTTCAAATTCGCCATAAATTTTACTGTTTAGTCCTTGGTATTTCTGGTTGTTGTCATTTGCTGCTACACTATAATAGTCGAGTATCAAAGAAAACGGCGGTTTATTGAAAGTTTGTCTATTTACTATACAATATATTGATAAAATTATCAGAGTCTATATAATTATTTTTTTGTTTGTCTTATTATCAGATTATTGAACCAGTAAATCATAACAATGGAACACATAACCTATGTAGAGGTTAGAAATTTTTTTTAATATATTTTTAAAATATTTATGAATAAACGGAAAGCAAATTATAATTTTTGTCTTTCTCTATGGATTATAAGTTTATTATAAAAAGCATAATGATAATGGAAGGTTACTGTTTACTGAATAATTAAAAAGGTATTGTTTAATTTTTTTTTAATGATTAGGTAAACAATGCCAATAATTTTGGTAGTAGTAGTAGATAGATCTGTTTATTTTTTAGAAGCTTTAATATATAGTATAAATTTTTAACAAAGTATTCCTAATGGGGGCCTCATTTCAACAAAAAATAACCCATCCTAATAGTAACACGTTTCAACATGTTTAGGAAATGGTTTCTATGCAATATAGACCTTGTTGTCTTTAACTTAAATCTTTTTTCTTGTATTTTGATAACTTAAACTGAGTGTTACATAATTTATAGCTATTGAAGCATCCTTGAAAGCACTTGAATAGCATATCTAAAAATAGATTATTATAAGTTATAATTTATGTAGCTTGTTTAATAGGATTTTATTATTTTGCTCAACATGCAAATTAATTTGTAATAGCATACTTTATTTATATGAAAAAAATATAAATGAATTATATTTGTGAGAAATATTTTATAAAGTGGACGTATTAATATCGCCTATTTCGAAGAAGAAAAAACATTGTTTGGGGGAATCACACTTCAAGCTTTTATTCTTATGAAAATATTTGTTACATATTTAGTAAATATATTAACATTGAAGCTTAATTATTTAGTGAAAAGGAGCAACATATATAAAATAAATTTGGTTATTTAGAATTTTACAGAGAAGTCACGTAAGGCCACCGTTTCAAAACGAGAGGGTTGGAGACTCCTAAATTTTATATTAACACTTTTTCTGTTAAAGTAGGTATAATCTGTTTTTTTTATACTTGCCTTATTAAATTTTGGTATATCTTTTTATCAAAATAAATAACTGGGATAGAAATTCTTTGAGCTAATTATGATGGAATGAATTATGCCCACTGATGCAAAAAGGTATGCCAAGATTATTGGCTAAAATATGAATAAAAACAGATTTAATTTTTTTTTTTTTTTTACTATAATCACATCAAAAGAAAACTAACAAACTGTTATAAATTGTAATATTTTAATTTTCCTATAAGAATAAAAGTTAAGCTGTTGTGTGTGTGGTATGCACCCCCCAGAGACCACAGCTGTCACTTCTGCATCCTCCCACATAGTGACATCCTATCCCTTCCCCTAAACTACTTTAAAAATCCTTTTTAAAATCTACTCAAAAATCCATCCAATATTTCTAGTCACCAACTCACTTGCCCAGCATAATGACTTATGGGCATAAACTCCTCAATGAAAAGAACCAATAATAAATAAATGAATGATAACAAATAATGTGTAGCTCCCAGTGCAAAAAGCAGAGGATCGTATTTGTTGAAAAGCATTGAGGAAGGCCTATGTCCAACAGTGGATAGATGTAGGCTGGAATCGTAAAATAGGGATGCAGAAAACAACCATATTTTGTGCCTCTCTAAGACAACAGGAAAATGAGTCTATTGCTAGAATCATTGTGATTAGTGCTTGCATTAGAACAGAAAATTGGATATGATGTGATAATGATCAAACAAATCGATGAATAGATGATGGTGATGTTTGATGGATTTGTTTGCAACTTGTCTAGGGCTGGGTAGTTCATATGACATGGCTGTTTTTTCCATAACTAACTCCCACTAAGGGTAATATTTTAATGTTCCAGCTTCACCATCTGATACTATAGAGGGCACTCCAACCAAACCCATTGATACCTCCCAGATTCTGTTCCCGGAGAGTCCTGTCTATGAACCGGAAGAAGATATGGAAGATATTCAACAAAATGTAGAGGTTTCTATTATTTATTCTTTGTTTTTTTTTTTAATAGGACCATGCAGAAAGCATTGTCTGTGTACATGAACATGGATGTCACAGAATATAATTAATATTATTCATAGGTGGCAACTCTTGTATTTTTTTTTAAATAGTGTGTGCACTCTTTTCTGTGGTTCTTCCTTTTCTAATAAAACTATACATGTAAAAGTTTGTTAAGAGAAAAATTAAAATATAAAAATATTGTCTGCTGTTTTTATACTGCGATCCTCATATGTTACCGTTTCTGAGGAGTAAGGTGTTAATGCATTTTTACCCTGTAATTTCATAGCCATATCTATTTCTTTTCGTATTGATCTTATTTCAATCTCTATTAATCACATAATAAATTTTAAATAGTTTAAATAAAGATTTTATAATTTAAATGAAAAGAGACAACCTAATTTTTTTTTTATAGAAAGGTTAATTTCTTTTTAAATTAATTAACATATCTGTACTATACAAATATTTGTATTCATTACTGTATGTATGTTCATGTTTGTATTTATATGGATGTTTTATATTTATAGCAGGTATATTTTTACATAAGATCAATCTATGTATCATTTATCTAATATCCATAGTACAAGCACTGCTTAGATTGGAACAATTTGTGCAATTTGTTCAATAGTATTTAATAAAATTGAAAAAAAAAATATCGGAAACTATTAAATTATGGACAGTAACAACATACATTATATTGAAATTAGTATATCAAATATGTACATATTTTATGTTCTATTTTCAGGGTGTCACCTCTACAACAGAAATCAAGGCTAAAGAACAACAAGACGTCAAAGGTATGAATTCATATTACCTAACTAACTTTTACCCGCGATTTTGTCCACGTGTATACAAAATTTCATAGTCATTGATTAAACCATTAAAGCGCTATAAGATAACAAACAAACTCACTTTCACATTTATTATATTAGTAAGGATTTGTTAATGTTTGTATTATTTAAAACAGTTATAGTATATGTGACTAGCTCATGCCCGCGACATTGTCCGGGTAGTATTTGTTATTCCTTCAATTAACGTTTTCAACCAGGAGGTTGAATTGAATTACAATAAGGATATTGTAGTGAACTATGACTAGGAATACTGGACCAAAATTAACAAATGACAAAATGTCATTCTCGAGATTAAAAGAATCTAAAATTTGCCTTAGGTCAAAATGACAAAAAATTTGAAAAAATTATATGTTCTATTTCACTACTAACATATAAGTTATTATAGATCTTTTTTTTAATACTTATACAAACCCTTGTAATTTTGTACATTAATTTGTTTCTATTATGCCTATCAACTTTCTAAAAAATTTTTGGTAATTCATCAAATACCCTAAAAAAACCAGTCCCAATTTTTCACTGGTTCTACAGCACAGTTGACAAATACCTTTCCATTTTCCAAACCAAAATAGGGGTTTTAAGTGTGAGCACATTTTTTCTAATATTTCCTGAATCATGATTATAGACGTACAACTACTGAATACCCTTTTTTCAGAAGACCCGCCAAGTCAAGTAAAAAGAAAGTTAAGCGATGAACCTTTATGTAGTGATGCGAAGATCCAGAAAATAGATCTCGCTAGTGCAGAGTGTGTTTCCACACAAAATTTAGATGATGAAGTGTCAGAAATAATTGGTGGTGCAGCTAAACGAAAATTTGATGTGGAGTTACCGTCTACGTCACGAGTACGCACACCTGTCAAATCGAGCCCAAGAAAAGTTACGAAGCGAAGTAACAGTGCTGATGTAGCTAAACCAAAAACGCCAAAGACTCCTAAATCACGACCGGCTAGCGTGGACATCACAAAAACGCGGACGCCACGCACAAGAACACCCCGTCAGCAACGTCTGCAGTTGGAACAAATTGGGGAACAAACAACCTCAGAAGGCACAAATACCTCAGATACAAACTCTCGTGCCAGTGTAGTGTTTGTAAAGGAAATACCACCACCCCAACAAAACCCAGTGGAAATAATAGCAGAAGAATCTAATTCAGAATTAAATGATTCACAAAGTTTCCATCTAGTCTTGTCGCCAACTCCTGATGAAGATGTCAGTGATGACAAAACAAAGCCACATTATAGCAGTGACCCAGTAATTGTTAAGGATAGAAAAGAAATCCTTGAACCAGGTAAAGTTCATGAAACTCACAGTGAAGGTTATAATTATTCTGATCAGAGTAACAATTTGTCTCAACCAATGCCAAAAGATTATAATAAAGGAAAATCTACTGATCAAGATAGTACTGATAGTCTTAACTCAATAAATCTTGAAAGTCCTGACCATGTTCCCAGTGTTGCTTCAAAGATGATATCTAAATTATCTAATGGAAACTCATCAACTCCTACTGAAATATCAGTACCAGGAAAACATGGATTATCGGAAGATAGTGACAGCACTCCTGATTTGATCAAACTAAATGGCAACAAAGCAAAGAGGCTTAAAAATGAGTCCTTCCGCGCTAGTAACACTACTACACCATCAACCATATCACCATTGCAGAATGGTCACTCGCTGCCTGTTAACACGCCCCAAGTACCAATTTTCGATATTCACATTAGCCAAAACGAAGATTGCGAGTTCCTTTCTCTTTATGTTGTGAGAACAGATAATGATTTAGGAATGGACATGTGCAAAGAATTCCAGAGGATTTCAAAAAGGTTTACCATAGATCCGTATATGGCTGATGTGTCTGTAAGCAACTCTCCATCTAGTGTCACCAGTGGAGGCATGATAAATTTACCTAACAGAACCTCGTTTGCATCAGTTGTCAGCTCAACATCTACCACTAGCAGTAATCGTACCAGCGATGGAGCTTTTGTAGTGCCCCAACCTCCGCGTAAGTCCGTGTCGAACCCTTCAACAACTGTTAAAGGATATGATGCATTAATGAAAAAATTACAAGATATCTTTTCACATATAAGAGAGACATCTATAGATGACGGTAATCGATCGATGAACGAAGATAAAGTATCTGTTGCGGTTCAAACCTCACTTTCTAGTGACACAGCATCTCTGAGTAATGGTAATGCTAGTCCTGATGAAGTCGGCAAATGTGATAAAGCTACTCCTAAGAGTTCACTTAAGAAAACCAGGGTAAGAGGTCGTAGACATATAGCTGGAAAAACCAAACGTGCTATTTTACCAACGCAACACGAGGAAATAGAAGAGGCCCAAGCTGCGATCTCGCCTGAAAGGCTTCCATCGAATGGTGAAAATGGGAAAATGTCTCCACTCAAGTCACCTAAAGAGGAGAAGCCTTTATCATCTCTCGTGGGCACACCGAAATCAGTTACTAAATTGAAACAGAAACGGCGCCCAACTTCGCCTAGACCTGCAACTCCTGTGGACAAAGTTGTAGTCAAAACTGAATACCCAGGTTTTCCTCCTGATACAGTAGTGCTAGCAAAATGGGTAGATAAGCGTTATTACTCCGGAAAAGTGTTAGAAATCACTGAACCGAATAAATATTCAATTAAATTTGATGATGGGCATTCCAAAGTTCTATTGGATGATTTCATAATATTTGGAGATATGAAAAGATTACCATTGCGAGGGCAGTCGGTTTACGCAATGGTAGATGACGAGCAAAACTACGAGCCCGGCTTAGTCTTGGAAGTGGAAGAAAATGCAAGCGGCACTGTCACTTATCGATGCATAACTGATGGGTGAGTTATCACAATTTGCTTAACATATTAAACTCTAATCGCGTCTTATATAATTACTAAGCAACATTAGGCCTCTGATCCAAATAAACCTGTACTGAACTGAACATACCTGTTTGAAATTTGTTTGATTATTTCAAATTTTCTATTTATATTCTAGAAATCAAGTTCAAATTCGAGCATCTCTATTATTATTTTATGTTAATGCAATATTAGAAATTCATAAAAAAAAACTGTGATACAAAAACAGTTTGCGCTTCATCGATATTATAATTCACTTTTAACGTTCAGACCGGCTTTTATAATTGTACATACTATATCATATCTCATGTATTCTATGCGCAATAAAGTGTTGTGTTATGTTAAAGTAACATGGTTATGATGTCCTCCTACCAGCGAGTCGCAAGTGTGCGTGACGGCGAGCGAACTGTACCTGACGGAGGACCAGGCGCGTGCACTCAAGGAATCCTCCCGACCGCGTTCCCCGCCCGCCCCCCACCCGACTACCCCGCGCCGCCGCCATCACACCGAGCTTGATCTCGACAACATCATACAGGTCAGTTCTCGAAGCCACGCTTACCCCCAACATCATACAGGTCAGTCCTCTGGACCGCGCTCGCCCCGACCATAACTCAGAAGGAGACTTTGTACAAAAGTCGATTGCTTGGGTACCTCATCCCATTCGTGTTTCAACCGTGAAGCAGCTGTGTTTGCATGGCTGTGTTTCGGTTTGAAGGGTGAGACATGGCGTGAATTTACTGGGTACAGATGAATAACACCTGAGTCCTCAGGAATGGCAACGCATGGGGGTTATCATGGGCGAAACAGTATACTCTGTTATGTCCATGGTACTGCTCATGTCTATAGGCGTCGGTTACCACTTTCCATCAGGTGGACCGTCAGCTTGTTTGCTATTCTAAGTTGTATAAAAAAAAAAAAAAAACGGTCGCTTCTGATAAGATTATACAGGTCAGTCCACTAGGTCAGGCTCGCCCAGCATAATCCAGTATTTATTTCTTTGGTACAAGTTACAATAATAGTTTGCAAACAGAAATGAGCATAATATTAAATAGAAAACAATACAGAAATTTTACTATACACAATTTGCAAACCTCACATTGTAGGGGGGAAAGGAATTGTTAGTAATGGAGCCAAATAGCCCCATTACTAGCAATATACCCTATCAGGTCGACCTCCACGTGATTCCCTCTGGAAACCATCTTGATTAATTTTTTTTTGAATTCATCAGAATAGGCCAACTGCTTTCATCCTCACCTATCATCTATGACTGGTGCCCCACACAGTGTATATCGTTAGCGCAGGTGGGGTTACCACTAAAAAAAGTCATAAGAAAATAATCATACAAAAAAAATATAACAAAAAAAATCAAAAAAAAGTATATTTATTATAATATAAAAACGGTAGCCCTGCTTGTATAGCGCTGGCAGTTAAACTGGTGGTTAACTCACACAAGTATTGATACATTTGTCAGGATAGAAATGTTGGAGAACATGTTCAAATTATTTAATATATGAAAATGGAAATCATAATCATTTTATATGTAGTAGATTAAGAAAATGTATATTTACTGACACCTTCAAACACTTCACAATCGCAACGGCACTTTATATATAATCACCAGTTATAAAGAATATTATTTTCACTATATTAATCATTGGAACAGATAATTTAAAACGATTATTAGTAGTAAATTAGACATTTTTACATTTTAAAACGTTATAACACTTACAGATGTACATTAGATTACTAATTACAGTTATGATCTAAACTTATACTAATTCAAAATTATTTAATAATTTCTTTAAATTAATGGTACTTTGATAAAAGATATCGAATATTTTGCTTATTTTATCACACACATCCGATGAATAGGATTATTTTGGGACACATTATTATTGGTTGATATTATTATATCAACTTACAGTTTAACTTGAAGTTGCCTACCTCCATCAACTTTCATTTGTCAAATATGAATTATGACGAATATCGCAAAACAACTGTTTATTTGTCTTTATTTCGGTTTATAAAGTGATTAATTGAAAAATTGTTAAATTTAATTTATTTATTTATTTAAATTGTGATATATAGGTAACAATGGATGATAAAACAAGATAAGTCCTCTATGATCAACTCCATCTATCAAGGTATACAAATTTATATATACAAAATATATATAAAAAAATCAACAATGTCACATTTATAGTAAAAAACTATAATATGAAAATTTATTTATGAAAAGATTGATGAATATGGAAGAAGCGAAAGAGATTTGTTTGAATCATATTTGGCGTTCCGTTGTTTCTGTAAAAAATTATAATATGACAGATATGTATATGTATTATGTATTTATTTATCTTCAAGGAAATCGTCAATTGAATAGTATGTTCTGTTTACTAGGTTACATACAGTTTAGTTTTATATTTTTTTATGTCATCTAAGTCTGTGAGGGATTTAGGTAAGTTATTATATATTCTAGGTGCCATTCCTAAGACACTTTTAGTGAATAATGTCGTTCTATGTGGTTTTGAAATAATTTTGTGGTGCTGTCTATTATTTTTAAATTTGTTATATTTATTTAAATTATTTTTAACAAATAAAACTAGCACAAAAGTAAATAACGCAGGTAATGTCAATATGTTGTGTTTTTTTTTTTAATAGTGGCTTATTAATATTATTAATAATGTTTAATTACAGGGCCCTCGCAGTGCACGAAGTCGAGATAAGGGCAGTTCGAGTGCAAAAAAACGGATTGCGTCACCGAAGAGTCCTAAGGCTTCAACATCAGGTCAGTAAAATGTCTTACTGATATTTAATGATATTTATTAAAATAATAAATTTCTTACTGGTATTATTAATTATTTGTTGAGTCAACAAAACCAGCTCTAGTTACAGGTTACTCAATAGTTAATATATCTCATAATGCTTATCGTTGTTTTAATTTATGTATATATGTGTGTATATATATATATATATATATATATATATATATATATATATATATAAATATGACTATATCGCCTGACTGCCGTTGCCAATCTGCCTGCCAAACGTGGCAACTACTGGCAAACGCCCACAAGCGGAAGGCTTATGTTCAGCAGTGGACAGTTAAAGGCTGATATGATGATGATGATGATAAAATTATTTTATAAGACGCAAATTTCGTTTTACTTTTTACTAAAATTTTGTATACAGATTTCCGTAGCTTATTACGTAAAAAACAGATTGGCTTGTTTTTTTTTTTTTATTTAAGCGTTCCGAAAAGATAATACTATTACACTAGCGCAAGATTTTTATTCTACCGTTGTTCTACTGTTACATTTGCCATCAGTGTAGCAATCATTAATCATATATTTGATCGCTGATGTGGTAATCCGCCGAGTGTAATGCATCACATGAGAAAACATGCAATGTCTCTTCCCCCATCTTCCGAGAACGGAAAAGTGATAAACAAAGACAAATACGAGAAAATATTTGTCGATCCATCTTACGCAGCGTGACCGAGAGTATCAAATTGTAATTTAATGCATTTACATTCCGTCGCGGATGATTGGCAACTAAAGATCGATGTAATTTATGTAAGATTATATTAATTTATTGTTTTTTTTTTCTTATGCAACTTAGAATGGCAAACAAGCTGACGGCCCACCTGATGGAAAGTGGTAACTGTCGCCTATAGACATGAGCAGTAGCATGGACATAACAGAGTATACTGTTTAGCCATGATACCCCCCCATGTGTCTAAAATGAACTGGCATTTAGTCAGTGATTCTTTTGCCTACTTACATCAAATCACTGTTTATTTTGAATGCGTTAAAAAACATCAATTAATAAAGCTAAAATACGTTATAAATATTATATTTTTGTATTTAATAATTTGATATACATTTTTTTTAAATTGTCAATTTATTCTCATGTTAATGTAACACAAAAAATTTTGCTGAGCTAATATTATACTATGTAATGAGGGTTGAGCGCTGTTGTCTGAGATACAGGTTTTATAACCTAGTTCAGACACATATGTTTAAACTGATCCAAATGTACAAATGAATTCATACCTACTTTTACTGTAATTTCCAATGCTGAGTTTGTTACAATCATGGTTATGCAATAAAGTTATTTTTCTTTATACAACTTAGAATGGCAAACAAGCTGACGGCCCACCTGATAGAAAGAGGTAAACCGTCGCCTATATACATAAGCAGTACCATGGACATAACAGACTATACTGTTTCGCCCATGATACCCCCCATGCGTTGCCATTCCTGTGGACTCAGATGTTATTTCTCTGTACCTTGTAAATTTACGCCATATTCCACCCTTCAACCTTCAACGAATGGGACAGAGGTACCCAAGCAAACGACTTTTGTATAAAGTCTCCCTCTGGTAAAATTGGTATTATTATTATTAATGAATTTACAATATAAGTACTAGTCATTCAATGACTCGGTGGTAGTAATCAATTAATATAAAAATGGCGATACCCTTTTAGAAAGGGCAGTGGTGTTTGGAACGTGTAAGAGAATGGAATTGAGAAATATAATACCATCAAGACGAACAGTGTTACTTTATATCGATCATTCTAAAATGTAGAACTAATCTTAATCAAATTGTTTATGGGGAACAGGCGTCAAGTCCAAAAGCACGCCGGTGAGCCGCAAGAGGCTAGCAAGCGAGAGCAGCGAGATGAGCGAGAGCAGTAACTCGGCGCCACCTGTTCGCATCGAGGACGTCGCCGGCGTCGAACCTGAAGTGCAGCGGACGCCGCGGAAGATCGACGGCGTCAAGGGTATACACTTTATCCATTCGCCCTATACACGCCCTTAGCTAGAAAAGAAAATTGTCAAATGCAAATAAATGTGACAATCCTGAGAGGGTAACCTAGAATAAAAAAAAGAATACTTTTTGGCACTGCCGCATTCAAAATTGGATGTGTATATAGTTTTCAACCGACTTTAAAAAAGGAGGTTCTCAATCCAGTTGTTGTATTTTTTTTTATTATTATGATTGTGACCTCATAACTTTGTCAGTTCTAATTTCAAAAAATATTTTTTTTTTTTATTATTTGAAAGGATATACTTACAGATGGGTTCCATGGGAATTTTTATCAAAATTAGTATTAGTAGTTTACTTTTTAGATCAAAATAACGGGTTCTGTCACATTTGAAGTTTTTTTTTTTTAATTTTCTGGGATACACTCTATAACAATGATTAACATTTTATATATTTTTCTGTCCCATTCATATCCCTCGAAGTTATTTTAAATTTTTAGTTTATCATTTAAAATGGAAAACTGACGTCCCGCCTTATGGAAAGTGTTATATAAATATGAACACCACCATAATCATATTACAGAATACACAGTAATCTCTATGGTTTCCTATGGACTAAGATGTTATGTCTCTGTACTCTGTAATTTGATTGCCGTATCCCACCTTATCAAACTCAAAGCACGAAAACAGCTGTACCTTCACAGCTGGTTGCTAGAACAGAGATTTCGAAGTTGACAATTGTACAATATCTGGTAATCGACAATAGCTCTATTCATGTTTTCTTTTTAATGGATGATAATGGAATAGTAATCCTGCCTGTGCTAACGCTATACGCTGGCGGGACACCAGTGAGGGATGATAGGTGAGAATGAAAAGGCAAGTCAGTTGGCCCATCATGATGAGTATATCCGTAATTCAGCACGATGCTTCCCAGGAGGGACCACGTGGAGGTCTACCTGACAGGGTATATTGTAAGCAATATGACTGGTAGTCCGCATTACTTGCGAAAAGGGATTGTTAGCAATGGAGTTTGACAGCCCTATTGCTAGCAATATGCTCTATAAGGTCGACCTCCACGTGATTCCTCCTAGAAACCATCGTGAAAAAATCTTGTTGAATTCGTCACGATGGGCTAACTGACCTACTTTATCCTCACCTTTCGTCACTGGTGCCCCGTCGGTGTATACCGATAGCACGGGCGGGGTTACTATTTCATATAAGAAAAAAGTCGACATTACTAACACCCCCTCACACACTCACTCACACATTCATTCACTCACACCCCCATCTATTCCCGTTATGATGTAGCATATTGTGCGCTGATTTGCAATATACCAGTAAATTTAAGAGTTTTAATTATTTTTTTATATTCAATAGCGGGGCCATTGCAACTCAAAGGTGCGGCCAAACAGAACATAGGCAAAAAGAACTCGAAACTGGCCAAATTCGAGAACGACGAAGATACAGTATCACTACTGGGGCCGATACCAAGTACTGACTGCACTATATTCTCTGGGCTACACTTTCTGCTGACGTGTAACGAGGTTCCGCGAAGTAGAGATACTGATGAGAAATCCACAGAAAAGGTATGTACCTATCATTATTTTTAATCTTTGTAAAAGCATCTGATGGTATACCTGATGGAAAAATGAGTATCGCTTGTTGAACATTTTGTTATTAACATTTTCCCAAGAGACTACAGCTTGGGGTTCTTCAAAAGGGGGGTAAAGAGGTTTCTTCAGGGTTGGCAACGCGCGCGTAATACCTCTGGTATTGCAGGCGTTAATAGGCTATGGTAACCGCTTACCATCAGATGGGCCGTATGCTTGTTTGCCACCTCAGTGGTATAAAAAAAACCATGCTGCGAAAATATTAATTAATTTTACTTGATTAAAAATATTTCTTTCTTTATTTCATTATCAAACTATTACGATGCTGTATAATGTGTGTGATTTAATGTTAAAGTGACTTAATAAATAATTGTTATTCCTGCAGCGCTTTAAGCATCTATCAGCGAATTAAACTGCACCGCTATTGTTTTAAAGAGTCAAGACACCCGACACTACTCGTCGGAGGAGGACGGCGATACCACCTCCACGATGGCGACAGACACTGAAGACTTTGAGTTCTGCAACCGGCCGTTCAACAAGGAGCGGCTTAAAGAGCAGATAGAGGCTGGCGGAGGTGTTGTATATAGGTCAGTGTCAGACAGTTGCATTTTCTTTGATTCCTTTTATGTATTTACTGTATCTGACTTGCGCCATCTACCTTTCTCTCTGTGCTTATCCATTATTTATGCCAGGTTGTCTGTAAAAGATTGCTTTTAGCGATAAGACCGCCTTTTGTATATGCACATTCTGTATAAATATTCCTTGTATACATCTCTACTGTGCGCAATAAAGAGTTTATTATTATATTATTATAGAAATTATTATCTTATTCAGTGGACTTCAAAAAGAAAGAGATTCTCAATATTGTTTTATTTTTTTATATGTTTGATCCCTTATAATTAAGTCAGTTCTAAACCAATTTTATATTTTTTTTTATCTCAAAGATTCTACTTACAGATTGGTGTCATAGAAATTTTATCAAAATAGATTCATTAGTATAGTTTTTAGATGAAAATAACTTATTATAATTACAGATGGTTTTTTTTTGGGACATAATCTTTAATCATTATTTACACAATACGTCCTTATTTATTATTACTAACACTACCGTGAAAGGATGGTAATAAGTTGTACAGTATCCATTCTATAAAAAAATGCATCTCATCATTGTCTATGGTCTTATAATTTTTTTTTAATGAGTGAAAATGGTATGGTAACCCCGACTGCGCAAACGGGATACGCTGTTGGAGCACCAGTGGAGGGTGATAGATGAGAATGAAAACAGGCCAGTTAGCCCATCATGATGAATTTATCAGGAATTAACCATGATAGTTTAGACCTGGTTGTATATTGCTAGCAATAGGATTCTCAGTCTCCATTACTAACAATATTATCATATTTGTTTCTTGCTAACTGCATCATCATTCATTATTTCAGCCATTTCTTATCATTACGTTACTATGCTACATTACATAGCATATTGTTAAAATGTTATTAATCGACGATTCCAACTCTTTGAAAATCATATTTTTTTTACTTTAATTATTTAATACCGAAGTCTGTTCATTTCATAAAACTTCTGTTTTTAAGTCTTGATTTCTTACATTACCCTTTGCATGTTTTTTTTTTTATTGGTGAAATATGATTTATTCCACCAATAAAAAAAAGTGATATAGTTCGTGTTTAAAGTTAAAGGAAATATTGTTAAAAAATAAATTTGACAGTTTTTTTTCCTGCAATGGACATTACAAAGTTATCCAAACAGGATCAACTTAAAGTGAACTTGGTCTTTTATATAAGTTTTAGGCCATCAATGTTATGATGGAAATTTCTATCATTATGCAAAGAAGGGTTAAAAGTTTTAGATACAATTGTCACTGCTAGATGGCGCTGTTAGATAAAAAATAACATGTATCAAATCAAATTTCAAACAATACATCTAATTATTCCAATAGCCACTTCGACGACGTGCCAAAAGCTAAATATTCCGCGTGCAAGCTAATCGCGCCTCGTCCATGTACCACCGCTAAGTACATCCAGTGTCTGAGCGTGGACATCAGGGCGGTGTCCCACGCGTGGATCATATTCAGCTGCATCAACAACCGACTGATGGATGTCGATTCTTACGTGCTACCCGCTGGCTGGTCACTTATTAAGAAGAGATATATGAATTGGGTATGTTATATTGTCCTTTATTTTCATGCCAGGTCCCTTAAAAAGGACCTAGAAAACCGAGTGCCAAAGCTCAACTAAACCTGTGTTAGTTTAAATCAGTGTCTAGTAATAGACAGAAGTGTTGATATCACGAATCGAGAAATGAGCTTCTCTATCAAATGATAATTCATTGAATTACAGTTATCCTTTATCTTTTTATTAGTGAAATAAGTTCTAGAATTAACTTAGAAGTTTACACTTACATAATATTAGCCGTTAAATTATTAATATAGTTATAGCCTGTCCATTGCTAAACATAGGCCTCCCCCTTGAGAGGATTTGCCAGTAGTTGCCATGATTGGCAGGTGGATTGATAAACACTTAGTTGTTTTAAAGTGACGCTGTTGCTCATCTTTCGACCATAAAATTTCCTTACCTACATATATACAAATAAATTTTACCCCTTTATGATGAAAAAAAAGGGAAAATTTATGACAACATACTATTTCTAATCATTTTCAGAGTCCATCCACAGGCAAACGTAACACAACCATCTTCAAGGACAAAGTGATCCTCATATGTCACGATCAGGACAACTTCGTGAAGTTCTGGGATCGTGTATGTACCCTTGCGGGGGCAACAACACGGGTCGTCAACGAGGAAAACTTGAACACAAACAGTGCCCACGCTCTAGTCACCGATTGGGACTGTCCTCACGAAGTCCAGAATAAGGCCAACCAAGATATGATCCCTCTTGTTTCCCCGCACTGGGTTAAACAGTGCCTCATCGAAGGCAAGATCCTGCCCACTGATGGTCACGATAAGTTTTCATTTATGTATACAGAGCCAGAATGATCCTGGGACTTCAGAAGGATCCTCATAATACGTGAAAATTGACACTTAGAGGACAGTGCGCGAGTGACGCTAGTGCTAAGTGAAGTTTAGTATTGTTATAGTGATAAAACAAGTTATCTAGTATCAAAGAATTTACGCTCATTCAGGTGTTTGAGAATTCAGTGGAAGGGACAAAAAGGTATTGTCTTCTCAGTGTTTCAATGTGGATATGTGAATTTAAACTTTAATGGACTCATAATTAAATTGTTAATCTGTTAATATGTGGAATGTCTTGACTGAAATTTTTCGATGTACACGTGAAATAAAAATTATTAGCATCCTATTTAGGGAGAATTCAACTAATGACATTATAAAATATTTCCAACAGAAACATCGGTCTAAAAATGGGAAAGTCTATCAATATCTTAACTATGTATAGTTAAGGCTCAAAATTGTTTTGTCTTTTTTCGTCCCATGTCTCTTTGGAAATAAATGTTTAATATAATTAATGGAATACTCCCTTAAAATGATATAATGATTTTGATTTCAACCTGTATAGTTTAGTATTATTGTATTGTTATTCAAGAAAATAAGGGTGAATGAAAGTCATTTTTTTTATTATTGTAAGGGAATGGTATTAAATGTAAGTTATAAAATATAACTTAATATTAATATGCCAATGTATATGGTGATATTATGTATTTGAATATACATGTTTAGAGAATCATCAGGCATGCACACTTATTTACTTGTGGCCGGCATTAGTTTACAAATAAGACTCGACCGTGAAAGAAATTAAAGGATATATAATAATAAAATAATTATGAAATAGTTGTATGTCTCAAGAACAGAATGTACTCAATTTAAAGTTACAGTTTGTGTGATTCATAAACTTGGAATATGGCATGTAATAATGACATTAATTACATTTTTTAATTATTAATTATTGCCAAATATCAATATGAATGTAGTTTTTATACAAAATTTTCGAAAAATGCCTAAAATTAATTATGAAATAACAAATTATGTATGTAATTCTCTTATTTTCTTGATTAGCCTCTCTAACAAGTATTGTACAACAATCATAAATTACAGTTTCCATAAAATTTATGTTGATTATGTATTAATAATTTATCTGACTACTACATTTAATTGAGATTTGTCAATCAAAATATTATTACGAAATTTATTTTTATTTGTTACAAATTCATTGACTTTCTTATATAAATTCAGTTGTTAACAATTCATGTTTGAAACAAATTGAAATTGGCAATGTTGGGATTGTTTTTTTTTTTAATGGATGATAATGAAATGATAACTCCGCCTGCACTATTGGTGTACACTAGCGAGGCACCAATAAGGGTTGTTTAGTGACATTGAAAAGGCAGGTCACAATTAGCCCAGCGTGACGAATTCAACAATAAACTCGTTACGATAGTTTCCAAGGGGAACCGCGTGTAAGTTGCCCTGATAGGTTATATTGATAACAATGGGGACTAACCTCCCTATTACTGGGGAAAGGGATTGTTAGTAATGGAGACTGAGAATCCCATTGCTAGCAATATACCCAACCAGGTCGGCCTCCTCGCGGTTCTCCCTGGAAACTATCATGATTAATTCCTGATGAATTCATCATGATGGGCTAACTGGCCTGTTTTCATTCTCATCTCCCTTCACCCTTCACTGGTGCTCTGCCAGCGTATCCCGTTAGCGCAGGCGGGGTTACCATACCATTTTCACCCATCAAAAAAAAAACCTCCCCATTACTAACAATCAATTTCCCCATGTTGGGATTGTTAAGAAATGTTCAGTTCTTTAAGAACATTACTAATGAGGCTGATTTTATCTATTATGCATTGCTCCACTGATGCGGTCAGGCGAGTTCGCTCCTCCATACCCATATTCATGGCTATATTATGAACATAACATTTAAAGATATTATTTTTAAAACAAATTTCATAGTGATAGGCTAATCCATTATGGCGCTAAGAGGTAACAAACTCTCTTTCACATTTATAGTATTACTAGCTAGTGCCCGCGACTACGTCCGCGTGGTATTTGTTATTCCTGTTAAATAGGTATATATCAATGTATTTATTATGTCTGGAAATACTGGACCAAAATTAATAAATGATGTACTGTTCTCACTCTTTGCGTTAGGTCAAAATGACTTTACTTAAGTAGGTTGTGTACTAAGCTGTATAAGTTACTGTAGTTTTTTAACTATCCCACGGGAACACTTTAATTTTCCGTAATTAAAAATATCTAAAATGTTGACAGGGACTATAAGGTACCACCATGCCCTTATAAACAGACAGAGAAATAAAAATTAAAAGAAAAATCTTGATGTGTTCTCTTTCACTTCTAACATACCCCTGACTCGGTTTCAGCTTTTTTTTTTCTATGTACAGACATTCGACCTCTACAGTTTTATTATATGTATAAATAATAAGGATTAGAACCGTAGATAAATACATTTGTAAATTAAAAGCTGCCAGTTTCAATTTATTTCAAACTAGTATTGTTAGTGACTCATATAATCAACCTGCAGGGCATCCATATTTGAAATGTATTTGGCCTATTAATTGTGTTCAATTAATAACGTGATAAAGATACAAATCATACAAATGATCTGACAGTGATTTAATTGTAAGTAAATGTTTAGATGTGTTAGTTTTTGTCCGTATATAACATAAGTATTCTATTTAATACAAAGTCTTGTAATAGGGGATTTTCAATTGTGTTTTTATGTATAGAAATTGTCTCTCTGTCAGTATGCGTGAATAGATGGGCTTACGCATTTGTATCGCAAGTATCCACAAAATATCCAAATTTCTCATTTGTATACAAAAACTGCGTTTAAAAGTTTAAACTGTTACTAATTAAAATTAAAAAAAATATATATAAGAATAATAGAACAAGGCATGAGTGGTGTCGAATATTTTAAAGGAAATCTTCCACAAATTTAATTTTTATGAATTAGTGTTTTGTTACATTCTTACCAACAAAATTTCACGTAAAAGACAAAACGACGTTTTTGTAAGCAATGTATATATATATATATATATTCTTTATTGCCCTTGTAAATTACATATAAAATAATATATTTATAAATGTTGTGAGCAAGGGTGGACTTATCTCTGATAGAGATCTCTTCCAGTCAACCCAGTACAGTAAGGAAGCATTTCGTTAGCGGACACCTGAAGTGCTACAACTATTAATATATAAACAAATATACAATTATTTATGTATTAAACTTTAATACACCTATATAGTATAAATGGCGGACTTAACACCATATGGTGTTATCTACCAGTGGATCGTAGACAGGAATGCCAAAAAATGTATTTGACAGTGCAACGTAATGAACAATATTAAATTAAAACTGTAATTTAAAAATAACGTATTATATATATTCTATATTGCACTTGTAAATTACATTGTTAATGCATTTATAAATATTGTGAGCGAGGGTGGACTTATCTCTGACAGAGATCTCTTCCAGTCAACCCAATGCAGTTAGAAAGCATGTCGTTAGCGGGCAGCTGAAGTGCTTCATATTATACTCAATAAATATATTTGAAAATTTCTTCATAATATTTTTATATGAATTTCGTAAGAAGTTTTTGAATTTGACTATATTTTTGTGTACATCGTGATAGTTTTAATCAATTCTTAGCAGGTTTTGATAACTCCATTGTTTTTCCCATGTTAATTTTATTGTAATTGTGATCACTGTAAATCAATATCTTGTTTACATCAATATATAAAAGTAATAGATATATAATCAGGAATAAAACACCAATCATCAAGAGAGTGTGACTGCAGTCAAATATGCTGAAGTATTCCTATATATTTAGTAAAAAAAGAAGGTGGAGTTCCTTGATATATGTCTCCATATATACGTTAATTTTTCGACTCCACTCATGCCTTGTCCTGTCATAATCTTTGTTTTTTTTTTTTATTTAAATTTGGAACAGTTTTAAATTTTTACTTTTGTGAAACTTGGGTTTTTGCTTATCAATAACTGAAAGATATAAATTAGCATTTTGAAATATTTTATATTCAGTCATTATTTTTAAATTGGTTGAGTATCCATTATATATATATACGGTCTCATTTAGTTATAATTGATTTAGTGCTTGATTTAGTTATAAATGATTAGTACGGCTTAAGCCGAGGACAAAGTAAACAAGAAATATTAAATGTTTCTTCAGTTAATTTGAATAGTTCCAATGTAATATGTTATAACGCATTCTTTTATTATTAGTGGATTAAGTTGACACTTATTTCATAATGTAACTTTTTCCGAATTATAAAAATTTTTTCTTCATTTAATGTAGTGAACTGAGGAAACTTAGTAAAGATAAAACTAATTAATAAAATGTTATTATAATATTTTTTTTTTTTCTTATATTTCAGTTGCAATATAAATTCTATACTTTAATAAATTTCAGAAATTTATAAGTAAATGGATAAAAAAAAAAAAACAAAACAAAATTTATGTATTGTTATTATGTATTATGCATTTTTTGTTATAATATATTATCAATCTGTTGTACTTTTTTTGCCAACTTCAATGATGTATAATTTAAGTAATATTGACAGTATTGTAATGGTTTCACAAAGTGTAGATTTAATATTAAATGTATTAATGTTTTAATGTGAATACAAGGTGTAAAATGGAAAGGGGTATAATTAAGATATCTAGAGGTAGTGGATACGATTTTGAAGTGTTATCTATACCTATCTGTATAACTTTAAAGTGATACGTCGAAAGTACGTTAAGAAAAATATATTATAGCATAGAATTTAATTTTATAAAAGCTAAAAGTTAGTTTCTACTGGTCCATAAAATGTTTTCGCTGTAATATCAAACTAAAACTTTAATTTTAGACAGAGAATTGTGCTTCAGAATCAACCACAATATTTGAACTACTTTATCTAAGGACTAAATGAAAAACAAGTACTTTTATTCCTACATATGCCTTTGCTTGGGAAAAATTTAAAGAACACTAGCGATTCAGATTACTATACTCTTACTGATATGCCTTGTATAATTAATCATGTATTTATGTATTTTATAGATACTTTTGAACGATCATGATCTCTGGACCAGATATTTTTGGATTTTAGTACATATGTAGTGATTGTAAAATCATCTCTCGGCGTGCAGGCATATTTTCAAAATTTCCAACTGCATAATGTTACGAAATGAAGTTTACAAACTAAATTAAGATTTAATCTGAATTGTAAATATTATATTAATGTTTAATATATGTAATTCGTAAATATAGAATTGTGTAAATTCTCGTATAGAATTTGACGATTATACAAACGTTGACTAAACAGTTTATTTGATGGAAGCTTTTTATAATTACCTCATATGACATTATTGTTTAAAATTACAAACGCTTAATACATTTAGTTAGATGACCACACCCATATTGTGATTTTATGGAATGTAAATTTTTCTAATGGAAATTATGTGTATATAGACAAAATTCAAAATCAGTATTGAAACATTTTTGATAAGCAAAATTATGTTAATCTTCTTTCTAATTCTGCTTATACTGCGATATATGGCAGGATTGGTCAGGGGATATAGTCGTAGCGAAAAGTATAACTATTTGTTGCATAGATGGCGCTGTTTATCCTAAGTCATAATTAATGCCATCACTCCACTTCTTTTCATTATACCACAAGGTCACAACTCAAAGGAAAGTTTCCATTATAATTTAGTAGGTGGCGCCACTATCGCATAAAGCTGTTTATATTTCTTCGTAATAATAGTAGCAGTATTGTTAAATACATATTATGCCTAAAAAGTAACAAATTTACTATTAACTACCGTATATTCCTGTTGCGATTGTAGCGCCTCCTATTAATTGTGTTTGGAAGCTTCCAAAGGGTAAGTGTAGGTGCGAGCAAATAAACACAATTTTTGTACCATGTGACCTACTCAACAACGTACTTCATAGTCTATGATTATTTTAGTAAAGATATTTGCCGCCAACCGTATAATATCACTGACTTTGTTCATAAACTTGCATTTCGCATATGTTGCGACTTATTGTTTTTTGTTGCTGTAGGTATATTCGTTGTAATGGAGTCAAGTAGGATTGTAATGTGTAATTATGAATAAAATGATGGAAATATATTTGCTTATTTTATTAAAAAAAAAATTAATAACTTTATTGATCAAAATAAAATATGGTATAAAAGGCAAACTTAATCCTAGTAGAAATTGTAAATAATAATTAAATATCTAATGTATGGACTTAGCGAATGCTTGGTACTTAATTTTTATCCAATAATAAGATTTCAATTGAATTAATTTTACAAACGGTATTGCCATATCATATTTACAAAAGTTACCAATTTTATTAATCAGTAGTTTTTGTTCAAGTAAATTTTAAACGTTATTGAATGGTGATTTTTATACAATTCTGCAGCCCAATGATGTTAATTCTCCTATAGTGAATGATCGTTGACGTAACATGGAAATTCAAAATTGACAAATTCTGGTCGTTTGATATGACATTTATACCTCCATCTCAAAAGTGTTTTTTTATAGACAAGGTGTCCCAAAAAGCACAGCAATTTTCTCTCTAATTTTTTTATATGAGAAGTAGTTCATACACGTATTTAATGTTTTTAAGACCATCATTTAGATTTAATAAATTACCAATTTTTATTCTACACCATTTCTGTTCGTCATACAACGCCATCTTTCAAAAGTAGCATACACTACAAGAGATCGTTCGGAACTATGCTACTTATTATAGAATAGTATTAAAAAAATACAGCAGATGGCATAAGAAGGTGTATAAATAACGACTTTCTTTGTTTTGCGTATTTAATATTTTGTTCCATAAAAAACATCAACTTTAATCTTGGCAAACCTAGTAATTTTGTTTTAAAAACTAAACAACTGAATCGTTTTTGATAATATTTCTGTGGGGCCAAGCAAAAAGTATTTCTTAAAAAAAGATTTTTTCAAATCGGTTTATGTCTGACAGAGTCATGAAGTTAAACATAACGAATTGAGAACTCCTTTTTTTTTTTAATCAGTTGAAAGGAGAATAAATAGGCGAGCTTATTTTACCGTAGATATGATTCTTAGTCTATGCTCCTTTGTGTGTTAATTTTGTTTCTAACACTACGGCAATAAACGTCATAACAAAATTTATATAAATTGTCCAAGAGACGGTATTACCTATGTCGTTATTCTACTAGTTATGCAATTTCTAAATTGTTAATGTGATAGTTAATCCTATTATCCTATAAATAAAAAAAATACGCAAGTTTGTAACTATAAATGGATGTTTATTTCTTTTTCACGCAAAAACTACAATACGGATTTGAATGAAGTCTGGTACACGAGTACGCTGTATCCTATCTTAGCACATAGTATACTTTATATAGTCGCGAAGTACAGCACAGCTAGAGTACGGATATAAATGCAACATAGTACTTATATAAATTTAAGTAGGTAGGTACGTGTAGAGTTATATCTTGGAAGTTGAGTAATTTATTAAATCAGACTTTATTTCTGTTTAGACGCTAAGTATATTAGCAATAGTTGTAGGTATTTATGAAATACTAATACATTATATTATCGTATACCTACCTACATAAATAGGAAAATATCTATAGAATATACGTATCTATGTAAATTGATTCTATGTAGCAATACTAATACAGTGATTAAGCTATTTAAATAGCATAGATTCAAAATGTAGAGACTGTTCTAGCCACTATATTGCAAATCTTGCTAAGTATAACGTATTACTTATCTGAGTAGGTAATATAAAAAACCGACTGTAGTTACCACAGATAATATAATACGTAACATTCTTTGTTCTTAATCTATGTTAAAAAGTTATAATTCCCATTGTTCGAAATTCAAACATTTGAAAATTCAAATCGAGCTATCGACTCGATAATTAACAAACAATGGCCGCCAAAAATATTCATTGCATATGTACCTATAAAAATACGTAACTACGTAATATTTATCGTCCAACAACACATTCACTGAATGTATGACCTGGGGGTGAACGATAGGAACGTTGACGGGATACAAAAGTGTATCATTTAACCCTAGGCCAATAACATAGGGCCAGGTTTAAAGGTTACCTATATAAAAGCAACACTATAATTATAAGCAAACCCAGTTTCGTATTTACTAACAGAATGTTCAGTCGTTCAAGGATTTCTTCGAAAGTGTTACAGTTTTATACCATAATGAAGGATTGCAGTGAATCTAGTTGGATTATTAGGTCAAACATCACGAGATAACGTCAATAATGTAGTTTATTTGAATATACATGTATAGATATATAGATAGATACTTATATATATTTATACATATTTAGTGGCATATGTATTATTTTTTAATATTTAATTTAAAAAATAATAGAATTTCACTTGTACAAAATGACAAATAAAAGCTAGTTAGCAAGTAATTAACAGACTATAATGTTTGTTTTATATTATAATGTGTTATTATTGTGCTACAATACTAAGATAGGCATTACTACGACGTGGACTCTGTCCAGAACTACGGACATAAAACACACAATCACGCGGCCTGCAAATGATTTATTATTTAAAATTAAACGTACCTATAACTATAATAATATAATTATCTGCATAGAGGTGGCACTTATTTTCCTTTGTGAGTGCACCGATGCCGACAAAATGTACCCCGTTGCCCCTCACTCAAATAGGGTTGTCGCACTACAAAATGATTTATAATTTTAAATAATAATAATATATAATTAGAACTGGCCTTGGAGAGACAAACGTAGAGTAGGATGTCGACCGTCTCCTACTAATCTGATAATTCATACAAGACATGGACAAATATTAGTAATATACAGTACTTAAGCACGGAAGAAAGGGATTGTAAATAATTAGATTTAACAATCTCATTGCTAGCGTATCCTATCAGGTAGATCTCCACGCGGTTTCCCTGGAAACTGGAAAATGAAATGGTAACCTCGCACGCGCTAACGGTCTACGCTGGGGGGAAAGAGATTGTTAGTAATGGAGACTAAGAATCCAATTGCTAGCAATATACCCAACCAGGTCGACCTCCTCGTGGTTCCCCCTGGAAACTATCATGGTTAATACCTGATGAATTCATCATGATGGGCTAACTGGCCAGTTTTCATTCTCATCAATCACCCTTCACTGGTGCTCCGCCAGCGTATCCCGTTAGCGCAGGCGGGCTACCATTCCATTTTCACCCATAAAAAAACCCTATCAGGTAGATATCCACGCGGTTTCCCCGGAAACTGGAAAATGAAATGGTAACCTCGTACGCGCTAACGGTCTACGCTGCCGAGGCACTAGTGAGGTATGACAGGTGAGAATGAAAAGGCAGGTCCGTTAGCCCACCGTGATGAATACACCTGGAATTCAGCACGACAGTATCCAGAGGAGACTATGTCGAGGTTGATCTGACAGAATATATTGCTAGCAATGAGACTGGTAATCCGCATTACTAGCAATCCCCCCCCCCCCCCCCCTTCTATGAAAAACATTAGGTGCACGTAAATTTTTTATAAAAAAGAAGTCTAAACGAATTCATAAATACAAGATTCCCCTCAATCATAAACCGTCACATGATGTCTGAAGTTTATCTATATTTTTTAGAACAGTCCATTTAAACATGTGACCGACGCCTGATGAAATATTGGACTAAGAAACGTTATTCATAACAAATACTGACGTAATTTGTTATGTATTTACTACATACCTACTTACCTATTACAATGTATCAACAGATTGAAAGCATTTCTTTTTTTTTATACAACTTAGAACTTTTTGGTAGGACAGAAGCCATAATTAAGTGACTTAGAAAAAGCGAATCTGTAAAATTTTTTTAGAGCCTTTCATTTTAAGGTAAAGCATTGGGCCCTTTAAAGTAGAGCATTGCTCCTAAACGCCTCTCTCCCCCCTAGCTACGGCCATGTAGTGAGGATTTATTATGTACTAGAAGAACCAAACAAGAACCAGAGGGAGACTTTGTACAAAAGTCGTTTGTTTAAGTACCTCTGGTCTCATTCTTGTTTCAACCGTGAAACAATTGTGTTTGCATGGCCTTGTTTCGGTTTGAAGGGTGGGATATGACGTGAATTTACAGGGTACAGAGGAATAACACCTGAGTCCTCAAGAATGGCATCGCATGGGGGGTATCATGGGCGAAACAGTATAATCTGTTATGTCCATGGTATTGCTCATGTTTATAGGCGACGGTTACCACTTTCCATCAGGTGGGCTGTCAGCTTGTTTGCCATTCTAAGTTGTATAAAAAAAAATATAAGACTTAAAATTAAAAAATAACATGAAATCTTGACGAATACGAGTAAAGTTCTAAAGAAAACGCACACAGGAGAGTTTAGAGCAGTGTTCCCCAACCTTTTTTGTGTCATGCCCTACTTGAACATTGCTAAAATTTTTATGCCATACATAATTTTTCCTGACAAAGTTTACTTGACGACTCTAATCGCCCAGTTGATATTTTGGTAATGTCAAACGAAATTTTACCTAATGAATATTTACAGCATTTTTTTATTTACTTTTTTTTTGTTATATTTGGCACCAATTTACTCGTAGCATTGCATTTAAATGACCCGGAGCAAGAGGGTTAAAATCGCTTTTAGTCCATTTTTTAATTACCCCCTCCCTTAATTGTCAAATTGCCCCCTTGTAGGGCGTGGACCCCACATTGGGAAACACCGGTTTAGATAGATTTTTCACCAAAATATTAGTTTCACCAATCTATGTACATATGTTTGCACAAATCAGATTATAGAATGACCTCCCTGCCGATGTTTTCCCTAGAGACTACTGATTCTTCAAAAGGGGGTAAAGACAGGGTCGGCAAACGCGCATCTGGTATTGAAAATTCATTTTTATATAAGGACGTATGCTTTTTTTACCTCAGTGATAAACAAATAAAACTAAAGACTAATTAACTTATCTATTAAAATAGTAGGTTCATATAATAATATGTTATTATTAGAGATATTAAAACATCTTATTACTGTAACCGAGGACAGTGTAGATAATATTGATGGATGTTATAAATGGCGGATTGTTTACGCTCCCTTATCGCGTTTGATAACAAGTTAGCTACCTACCTAC